CCGGTACGCTCATCTCGATAAAAAGGCCGTCGTCGCCCCTCCGCCACGGCATCTAGGCCATCTAGAGCCGACCCTCCGGCACCAATCCCACCTCCTCCCACACGCAAGAGCAAGCGGCCCAGACGCCTCCGTCTCACCGAGAACTCACCTCCTCCACCACCCACCACCACCGCCGCCGCCGCCCCCAGCATACAGCCACCACCCGTACTACCGCGAACCCCCTCCCCCGCGAGCTGGAGTCGGAGCAGGACCCATCGAGTCATCATCATCAGCCTACCCGCGCCGCGAGAGCGAGTCCGCCTACCTCACGCCCCAAAACTCGGCGCACCCGCCGCAGGCGGCACCTCACCACCCCTACAGCCTCCACGAGCACTTCGCCTCGTACCGCGACACCGGCGCCGGCGGCATCCCCAACAGCCGCGACCACGGCCGCCACCGCGACAGCGACGCCTCGAGCGCGGCCTCCATCGTCCCGCAACCCACCGCCCCGCCACCAAGCTACCGCAGCAGCGCCGCCGCCGCCGGGAACCCCCTGGCCGTAGACGGCATGATGACCCCTCCCCCGAGCGAAAAGGCCACCGCCGGCGAGAGAGAGTACCTCAACTCCCCCGAAGAGATCCTTTACATGCAAGTCTTTGTCGAAGAGGTCGGCGTCTGGATGGACTCTCTCGACAAGGAGAAACACTTCTCCCGCCTGATCCCATACCACGCCCTGAAATCCCCCATGCTCCTCAACGCCTTCCTCGCCTGCGGCGTAAAGCACCTCACGCTCGTCAACCCGGCCTACGAGGACGACAAGGCCCTCTTCTACTACGACACCGCCACCACGCAGCTCCTCCGCAGCCTGCAGAACCCGGACCGCAACACGGGCGAGTGCGCCACCACGGCCGTCGTCCTCAACGTCTACGAAATCATGTCCGAGAAGCCCGCCCAGCGCATGAACCACATCGCCGGCGCCCGCGCCCTCGTCCGCGAGTGTAAGTGGGACGCCCGGTCCACCGGCATCGGCGCCGCGTGCTTCTGGCTCAATATCGGCATGGAGGTGCTCTCGTGCCTGGCCTTCAACTGGCAGACGTCGTGGGATCCCGATCAGTGGGGTCTGGATATGAATTTCACCAACGAGGGTTGCGGTCCGGCTGGTTCAGCGGCGGCAGCATCGAGGTCCGGTGACGGCTTTGGACAGGAGGAGGTCTGGGTCCATCGGATCCTGTACATCGTGGCCAAGATTGCAAACTTCCGGGCCACGATCCCGCGGTTCCAGGAGCCGAGCCCGCACGACGAGCAGATCCGCCTGGGTAACCGGCTTCAGCAGTGGCAGGATCTCAAGAAGCTCTGCGACAAGTGGAATAACACCTGCCCGAGGACGATGCACCCGTTCGGATACCTCTATCCATCGCAAACAAACTCCAAATCCGCCTTCCCCAACGTCTGGTAAGTCTTCGCTTCCCTCATAACCTCTTTCACTCTCCTCTGTCCGAGTCAGCTGTCATCTAACAACCCCACAGGCTCATCAAACGCGCCGCCATTATCGGCCGCCTCTTCTACCACACAGCCCAATGCCTCCTCGCCCAAACGAATCCCATGGAACCAGGCCGCGCCTCAGAAGAAATGCGCGCCCTCCAGCTCCACCACGCCCACCAAGTCTGCGGCATCGTAGCCCACACAAAGGACCGCGGCGTCGCCTCCGTCGCGATCCGCTCCCTCGCCATCGCCTCCGCCGTCCTCACCGACCCGCGCGAGCAGGAAGAGGTTCTCGAGATCCTCGACAAGATCCACGCCGAGAGCGGGTGGCGCCTCGGCAGCATCCACGGCGAACTCAAGAAGGCGTGGGGGTGGCCTTCGCCCGCGCCCTCGCACGCTTCTCTCAGCGGCGGTCCGGCGGGTGGTGCTCCAGGTGACCATCGAGGTTCCGTGGGGAGTTATGGCGGTGGGAGACCGGGCCCGCCGGGGAACCCGCCGGCCATGGCGACGTCGAGCGCGCCGTCGGCGTCGAGCGCTGCTGCTTCTGCGCCGATGAAGGCTCTTGTGAACCCGCTCTCGTACGCCGACTTTAGTTTGCCGAATGCCCCCTACAAAGACTGGTGGAAGCCGCCGAATCGCCATGATTCGTACAGCTACCAGGGTTTCCCATAATGACCTTTTTCTTCACCTCTTTCTTACTCTTCTTTTCTTCAAGTTGGCTTGTCTTTTTTTTCTTTCTTTTTTTCTTACTTTACTACTTTGTTCCAACCCGAGCCCTTGCGACGAAACCGTAAGAGAGGGAAGGGACGGATTCATATATATAATATTCTTCAAGAAAACAGGAGGCGAATGTTTGCTCTCTAGTTACTTTGACATCGTGGAATACCGAAAAACCAAAAGAGGGCTGGCACTGGTTTGCTAACCCACCCTACCTTACGATTACGACTCCGTCTTATCCTCTTTACTTTTTCTCTGGTCTTTCTTCTCTTCTACTGCATCATCTTTTTATACAAAGCAACTACAATTAGGAGAGGAGAACACCACGGCTCTACAGGGTGGCCGGCAAAGCATTGCGTCAGATGAAATGGGTCTATTGGACCGCGGACCCGTTGGAGGGAACTGGAGATGGACAATGGGACATGTGGGCGTTCCGGCACTTCACAGTAACAAAGGGGGACAGATGGTTTTTTTTTTTTTTTTTTTTTGCTGAGATACGCTCCAGCATTTGAGAGGCTCCAATGGTTGGGAGAGCCCAGAATGCTCTGCAAAGGGCACCGATACCATGAGATATTTACTATTGTTCTATCTTGGGCACACACTTTTGCTCCTTTGTTTGCTCTTCTTGCAGTTCGTCACACACAAATGACTCTAGGGTTAGGGAACTGTCTTTGATCGTTGTCTGCATTATCTGGTATCTTGTTTTATTCGAATGGGAAAGGGGATGTTGGGGTTCTGTCTAACGCGGGAGGGAATCTATCGCAATGCCAATGCTCAAAAAGCAAATGTCAAGCGCTCAGTGCCTTGACACCAAGAACCTTCTATGGAAAAAAGTTGATTTTCCTTCCCTTTCCAGACTCATCTTCTAATGACGTGCCCAAAATCCATTGACCCATTCTTCCAATCGTCGTGAAATCCGTTTGTCCCATCTATCGCCGTTTCTTCGTGAAATTTGCTCAACAAAGAGAAAAGAAGGCAAGAAAACTCAAAGTCTGCGGGGCCAAGCTAGGAATTATGCCAAACCACGTTCTAAAAGTTTCTTGGTAGCTGAAAGCAGTGCCTTAAGCAGAGCCGTTGGTGTTGGTGACGACGCTGCCGCTGACATTCTCCTTCATGAAGGGCTCGTTGTCAACCTCAATGGAAGGGATGGTCATGCCAAACTTCTCGTAGGGGAAGTTCTCGAGAGTAGGCAGGTACTCGGCCCAGCCGTCGTCAATCTCGCCGACCTGGTGCATGTCGACCTGGCCGGCCTCGCCAGTGCGGCCAGCAAGGACCTCCTTCTCGCGGCCAGCGTACTCCTTAAGGAGCATCTTGTGGGGGCACCAGATGACACGCATGCCAGCGCGGCGACCAGCCTCGACACCGGGGACAGAGTCCTCGAAGACGAGGCACTCCTCGGGAGTGATGGGCTTCTCACCCTCGGGAAGAGACTCGTTGATGGTCTTGAGGGCCAGGAGGAAGATGTCGGGGTTGGGCTTGCCGCGGCCGGGGGCAATGCGGGTGTCGTCGCCCAGGACACGGCGCTGAGAGGGGAAGACGGAGAAGAGTTCAGTCAGGTGGTCAGACTTGAGCTTGAAGTTGGCCTCGTGAGAGGAGGTGGCCAGGGCAATGTGAACACGCTGGGCAGTCTTGCCGTCAGCGGTGGCGGGCTTGTGGTCGAAGTAGCGAGTGCGACCGAGGTTCTGGAGGAGCTGGGGAATGCCGGGGAGAGGCTTAGTAGAGGGGAAGATCTGGCGCTGAAGAGCGGACAGCTTCTGGTGGTACTCCTCGTGGGTAATGGGGAGCTGAGCCCACTCGTGAAAGATACGAGTGGCGTCAGGACCAGGGCGGCCCTGAAGCTTGGCCTTGATGTTCCAGGGAAGGAGAGGGCGGCCGTACTGCTCGAGGACGATATTGATGCAGGCGGTGTAGAGGTCCTCGGTGTCGAGAAGGAGGCCGTCCATGTCGAACAGGCAGGCCCGGACGGGAGGGAAGCTAGGTAAGTCAAGATCAGTCAATTGGTTCATTGGCGTTTGAAGGACGAGAGAAGACTTACTCGGTGCGAGGAGCCATTGCGACGGTAAGAAGGTTGTGGAGGTGATGTGATGGATGTGAAACGTGAAGGTGGAAGAGGAGGAAGAAGTAGCAATTGGATGGCCTCGAGAGGATTGTCGAAGGAGGAGTGGTTGAGGGTGGAAGAGGGAAAGGTGATGGAAGAGGTCTGAAGAAAAGAGAAATAATCTCCAGTTGGGGTATCGCGAGGAAGGTTTGTGGAGGTGAAGACAAGGCGGAGGATTTTTTTAGCCGCAGCCAAAATTGGCCTTTTGATCCTTTCTCGGAAGGACCTGAGTCAACAAAGTGAATTTGAGGGACGGAAGGAACAATGGACAGGAAGCCAAAGGTCGAATGGGCAAAACGGGCAGGGGCGTTCAGGAACAACGGCGGGGTGAAAACGGAAGCGGAAGGCACCGATGGAGGGGTCGCTCAGCTCTTTCCCGAATAAAATGGCGACCAGACGGGGAAGTGGGGTCCCCATGTATCCCCGTACACTGTACATGTACCTTATTTTCAACACTAAGGTACACTGTACACAAGAGTAGGTAGTCAGGTATCCGTAACATGTACTCGATTCACTGTAGCTAATACAAACGCACCTCGACTATTGATGAAATATTCAAAGTGAATGTACCATTAAAGTCGAATATTAAGGTATACTCAGTGTCTTTTTTGAATCTTGATGGCTTTGATCTTCCTACCTGCATATCTCAGACGTACGGACAAAAGTATCTTCTCATACCTTATGAAGTACAGTTCAGGCGACGGCGCATACTGTACTCCCTCATGGTGAATCGATTGGATGCCAGCGAGGCCAGCCGCTGAAAGACCCTTAAAGCGCTGTATCCGCCAGGTCCCTTCAGCGAATTGGGTCAGCAAGTGTGGCTTCCACCGCCCAAAAACATGTGAACAGCCTCAACGTCCCACTCGACCAAATCCACGTGGGGACGAGACACCTCAGTGACGACATTCTTGGGGCTGCCCTGCCTGCACCCTTTGACTCAGCTCCCAACGTCAAACGAGTCTACAACAACTCACTGCTGCCTTCCAAGATGGCGTCCAAGGAGACAGAGAAGGACGCCCAGAGCAAGGGCAAGGACAAGTCGGTCAAGGATGATGAGCCTGAAGAGGTCCAGGAGAAGTTCTCTCCTGAAGAGGAGGCGGTAAGGCAAATTGTTCCCCTGCTCTTATTCTATGCATTTCAACCTTCTTCAGTGACGAGATCTCCGACTATTCGAATGCCACCATATGAAAGTTGGGAACTGCCGGATCCCTTAATCTCATACCACCCCTTCGATGAGTTCAACCTTCACCTCACTGATCATGAAAAAAGCTCCTCCGACCTTGATAAAAGTCCATCACATCTAACACAATCCGCAGTCCCTCCTAGCCGAAGCAAACACCCACAAAACCGAAGCAAACGCCCTCTTCACATCCTCACACTACACCGACGCCATCGCAAAATACGACGAGGCCGTCTCCGTCTGCCCCAACTACCTAGACTACGACCTCGCCGTCCTGCGCTCAAACATCTCCGCCTGCCACCTCAAACTCTCCCAATGGAAAGACGCAATCTCCTCCGCCTCCGCCGCGCTCGACGGCCTAGATCGCATCGACAAGGAATCCGCCCTCGAGCAGGAACGCCGAGAAAAGCTCAAGGCCGAAGAGGAAGAGGGCGTGGAGGAGGAGATTGTAAGCTCTGGCGCTAGCGCCGCTGCCCCCGCGCCGGTGACGGTCGCAGATGATGCAGAGGAAGTTGCGCGTAGAAAGAGGGCAGATGATGTCCTCCGCATCAGAGCCAAGGCTCTCATGCGGAGAGCGAGAGCGCGGAGCGAGGAGGGCGGGTGGCAGAACCTCGCGGGCGCGGAGGAGGATTATAAAGCGCTGGCCAAGATGGGGAACCTCGCGGCCGCGGATCGCAAGATTGTGCAGACGCAGTTGAGGGTGCTGCCGCCCAGGACGAAGGCTGCGCAGGAGGCGGAGACGGCGGAGATGTGGGGGAAGCTTAAGGATGTGAGTTCTGAACACGCCACTGGGAGTGTATGTTTTGAGTGTGTGTGTGTGATGGCTAACGTGCGAGTATAGCTGGGCAATGGCATTCTGAAGCCGTTTGGACTGAGTACGGATAACTTCCAGATGGTCAAGGATGAGAAGACGGGAGGATATTCGATGAATTTCAACCAGGGTCAATGAGCCTGGACATAGCCCATCAAATGTGGTCTAAGAAGAAAACAGCATTTTGGTGTAGGCATGGTAGGAGCGATGGCATCATAGCAACATGAAGACGCCGTAAATCTAGCTCATTCAAGCTAGTATACTACTATCGCGTCCAAGGTGCTTCACGGACGATTACTTCTGTAATCACCAAAGGTTTGACTCGCTCATGTCTGCAAGAGTGTCTGTCAAAAGAAATTCATTCATGTGCCCACAGTATAACAGTAAGAACAAGCAGCCAAAGTGGCTCTTGTTGGTATTAATGCATTAATTCACGTTATTGATAGCGGTGTTTTTTCCAAAATCCCTCCACATATCCTTCCCTTGCCCTCTCCGGCTCCTTGGTCTCCCATTTCTTGTCCGCGAAAACCAAATACAAACCCTCAACATTCGATTAGGTGTAGATACTCTCGGTAATCTGGTTCACCTGGAGTCCCTTCTCCGCCATCTCGGCGTCCCGCAAAAAGTCGAGCGGGAACCACACGAGGTGGCCCTTGATCTGGTCAATCTTTTGCCGTGCGTCCGCTGCGGGCATGAACTGGTCGAAAATATGGCCTGCCTTGACGCCCTTGGGCGGCAGGTATCTGTCGTAGTCGTCAAAGGTTTTGACTAAAGGAAAAGATGTTAGCTCTGATTCAATACTGTGAAATGTGAGAGGAAAGAACTTACTGTGGTCATCAGGATCAGCATGGAACAGGTGACGGTACAGATCCGTGTTCCGCGTAGCGTTGCCCGTCCACATCTCCCACAGCTCGTCGTTCATCGGATCCTCGACAAACTTCCACGTGTCGTCGCGGTCCCACGGGTCATTCTCCGCGTGGCCCGGCGGACGCGCGTTGGGATCCTGCGACCCGTCCAGGTCCTGCGCGGGCAGGAGGCCAAGATGCTCGCGCCACAGGTACCGGCGCAGCGACGTCGCGTGCCAACCGGCCTCGTAGGGTTTGCCGTCCATGGTGCTCGGCACGCGCTTCGTGTCCTCCATGACGATGCTGAGCTCGCTGTCGTGATAGCCCAGCTGACTGCGGTCGTTGAGGTTGCTGGAGCCGCAGACGACGATGCGGTCGTCGACGATGAGAAGCTTGGAGTGGATGTAGAGCTCCTCCTGGATCCAGTTGCGGATCTCCGTCTCCGGGTCTTCGTCCTCCCACGGCTCGTCCTCGATGGATCCGGAGTTGGCCATGGCGTGCTGCGCGACCGAGGTCTTGTTGCTGAGCTGGGCGTCGCCGAGACTGGCTTCGAAGCGTTGCTTGGCGTCGATGGCGTTTTGGGCCTCGGTGGTCTTGCCGTCGCCGACTTGTTCGGCCTTGGCGCCCATGTGCTCGTCGCGCTCCTTCTCGGTTGGGTCGTTGATGCCGTGGATACCCGTGCCCATGACCTCTTCGGCTTGCGCGCGCTGCACCTCGGCGTACTTGACACCCGTGTCCTTTTCTCTCTTCTCCACGGCGGATGTGCGGTTGAGACGGTCGTACGACCGCAGGTTGAAGAAGAAGATGTGGTTTCTGGGGTCGATGCCCTCCTTCTTGACCTGCTCGAAGATGGAGTGCTCGCCGCGGCAGATTGACTTGTACTGGTAGTCCATGATGGCACGGGTACCCGTGGCCGCATCATCTCGGAGGTCGCCAGCGAAGCCGGGAATGGCGGGGATGAGGACGATGACACGGAACTTGCGACCCTCCTTGCCAGCCCTCACGACGGCGTCAACAATGGCACGACCGATCCGGTTGTGGATCGGTGCTTGCTGGTCGCCGGTAGCGGTGATGAAGAACTGGTTCTCAATGTAGACAAAGTGCTCTGCTTTGCTGATGATCTCACAGTAGGCGTTCTGGATCGAGTGATCGGTCAGGATACCGCTAGACCAGTCGGCGCTGGATCGCACGATTTGGGCGTGCATGGATCCCTTGTTCTCCAAATTCGACAGGCTTCGCTCGTCCAGAGGGTGGGTGAGGTACTCTCCGACGGGATGCTTGGGCCGTTGGACTCCCACAAGATCCTCATCTTCGGCCAGACGACCGCGCAGCTGGATCCAGTCGAAGCGATCGTCACGCTTGTACTTGTCGCGCTTCACGAAGTTCCAACGCAAGACAAAGTGCTCGGCAATGTCGTAGACGCAGGGCCCGACGACACCCATGGATACGTCGTGCCAGGGCATGCGCCCGTACTCAGCCTTGCTCAACTCGTTCTGCTTCCAGTCCTGGACGTTTTGGAAATCCATGATTCTGTTGTTGTTGAAGTCCTGTCCGGGCCAGACCTCGTTCTGGACGCCCTCGGGATGCGCATCGGCAAGAGGGTGGGTGTGGCTGTCCCAGCGACCGAAGCACAGATCAAGACCTCCGATGAAGGCCATGGCATAGTCAATGACGATGAACTTTTCATGATGAGCCCAGTAAAAGGTCATATCGGCGCCGTTGGAGAGGACATTGTGGTCGGGGTGGCGCATAATCTTGATGTTGCCGTAGCCTGGCGAGCCCTCGGGGCACAGAGCCTGCAGGGCATGCTTTGTGTGGGCAGAATTGCACGTCAAGGCAGCCTCGACTTCGCGATAGACAATAATGTGAATTTGGACACCGGCCTCGGCGCGGCGCTTCAGGACCTGGTCCAACCTCCATTCCTTGTTGTGGTGAGGGGGGCGGCGCAGGAACAGCTCGGGGGACAACCACCAGTCGCAAATGTAGATGGTCTCCTTTGCGGCCTCGAGAGCTTCGGAGACGGCCCAAAAGTAGTCGCGACCGTCGACGTACCACTTGATCAGGTTGCCGTCGCGCTCCGGAAAGAAGGACTTGAAGCGGTGGTCCTCACCGATTTTTGTCCGCTTGTCGTCGGTGGCCTTTTCGTGCTCCTCGTCGTGGCGGTGGTTGGCGTTGAACTGGAGCGCATGTCAGTTTGGCTGGTCGCCCTAGGCAGGTTTCCCACGTGGGATTGAGCTTCATTGGGGAGGAAAGTATGGTCTTACAAGGTTGGCCAGCTTGCCAATCTGGTGCTTCTTGTGCACAAGATGAACTTTGGCGTCATGCAGATGGGTACCCTCGAGCTTATCCTCCAGCTCGCGGAATGGCTTCTTCAGCTTGTCCATGAAGCCGCCGCCGCTCCCGCTTTCTTCCTTCTTGTGGCCATGGTCGCTTGTGGTCATGAGCCCCATGATTACAGTATGTTGCCCTGGGCGTTGAACGAAGGGGTATTCGAATGGAAGATTTGCGCAAGCTCTCAAAGTTGGTATCTCTAGGTCATGAAGTCGTGGGGAACGAAGCGGGAAGTTGAAGTTGAAGTTAATGGGTGTGGCTGGTGTGGAGGGGTATCATAGGATGCGCGGGGTACACTGAATGGCGGGGTGAATAAGTTGAAGCATTCCAGCCCAAGTATGCAGCACTCGGATGGGGAAAAGGTCAGTGGAAGTGTTTAAGCTTCGTGTAGCTTGGACTTGTAGGTGTGGGAATAGGTTCAGGAGGAGGGAGAAGAGAGGACGAGACGGAGGAAGAGAAGGAGGATGACAATGGAGGGACGGCGCGTGGGATGGGGAAAGTAGTAAAGCTTGGAGGGAAAGCTTGAAATTAGAAACCCTGGGCTATGTCATTCCCGTCACTCGTGCGCCGGCGGGAGAACTAATCAAGCAGGTTAATTGGGGGCGAGGATCGAGAGTAGTTCGGCCGGAAGCAGGATCCAAGGCCAAGGAAAACGAACGGAGAATGGAACTCTCACTCGCGCACTTTGGAAGAAAAGTGTGGGCGCAACACCGGGACGGGGGGGGAACGACACACACGACGATTGTTGGTGGTGAGACATCCTCAGACTAAGACAGGTACTTTGGTATACTGCAGGATTTGTATGCAGAACCAAGTACATCCCACCCACCTCGGTATCGGCCCTGCGCAAACAGGAACGCAGTCATACCTTACGGAGTACTGCAGCCACGGATAATTACAGTACAGTCGCACTCGATTTCAAGGCGGGGCAAATGTGACGATCCGCTGGGTCGAACGACTCGAGTCTTGGACGACTACTATCCACGCCTCGCAGCTTGTGCCTGTGATGATCCGGATGCAAGAATACAGCCCCTGTCCGCCCGTCAGGGACACCATCGAATCCAGCCAAGCTCCCACCCTCCATCTGCCAGCCGCTGAGAGAAAACGATCCCGAGGCAGTATGTCTTGGGGCCAGCAGTCCAGTACTATGTAAATCCAGCATGCAATGCCACGCGTCTTGCGCCTCCTCTTTCAGCCGTTGGGACCGCAGCTCAGAAGGCTGGGAAGCGTCCGCAGCTGAACTCAATTTGAGAGGCTCCATTGCTCAGCTTAGCAAGGGCTCGCGTGCCCCTGGGTGATCGGGCCATATCACAGTCAAGAGACTCGAGACAGATATCTAAAACACCGACCTCGCTCTCTTCTCTGACAATATCAGTAGAATTGGAATCATTCTGGTAAGCTGAAAGCTGCAGAAACAAAAACGTAAAAGAACGCCTGCCCCGCGCTCGGTGCGTCGGTCACAGGGAAGGTCCCGTCCGTTTTGGCGGTTTGAATTGCTCAATGGAACGCCGTCATTGGTTTCTTGTCTGATGAGTGGGGTCTGCTACTCTATTTTCGTCTTGACGTCATGTCCAGCACGTCAGCTGCGGTACGTATCTCGCTGATAAGATTGATCTGGCGGATCTTATCGATAAGTCCCAGCTGCCCATCCCGTCGAAAGCCGCATCTTCTGCCCTGTTGTAAACTGCGACATGCAGATGTTGCAAACTTGCAGCTCCTTTAAAATGTCGAGTCCTGGTTGCACGACAGCCCGGTACGATGCATAGGGCGAAATAGAGCATGGCACATGTGCCGAACTCCGGCTTGTCCTTGTCATGGCGCCATTGCGAGCCCGTCGCCGCCGCCCGTCGCAAGTTTGCACTGGTCTGGACTGGTACCGAGTGGAAGGGTGGAAACCTGAATTTTGGCGTTTCTGCATCTTTGGCGGACGGTAGCCGTGACGTCACGACATCGGCAGATCGTACTGCCATTGACCTCCGGGAATACCTGCCCATTCATCGTATTGCTAGGCAGACGGAGAGGTCTAGAGTCAATTGAGCTTTTCTGAGGATCTGGTGTCGTGAATTTTGACTTTTGGGTTGGGGTTGGCGTCGCTTTAAATTGCTAGGTAAAGTGCTACGCATCACTGCTTCAAGTGAGCCCATGAGGCATCCTCTACTGAGACCACTCTGTTCAGCATGAACGAAGCATGAGTGTCATTTTGCTCGGCGATTAAGATGCCTGGGCCGATAACCAAGCCGTTAAATCGTTGAATTGCCGAGACTCATGCTCCTAACGCCACTACGAAACCACCGCACTTCATCGCAAGCACCGCCTCGTTGATGTAGTTGTTCATTCCCAGAAATTCCATCAAAGGCACGCTCACTTAGGATTCCTGAGGCTTGGCATCAGATCTGCTAGATCCGATCGTGTACATCATTCCTCAATCTACATTAGGACACCTAGGTCCTGTCTTCCCACGTGTATCTATCCCGCGCTACCGCTGAAATGCGCCCTCGTTGTCTCGTTCCAATGACCAAAGTAAGACAACCGTCAATCATTCCCACTTCTCAGCCTTCCCATCCGTCAGTGAAACACCAGCGCCCGAATATCGATACTCTGCCGACACTCCATCTCATCCATCTCCGGATCCTGGAACGCACAATGCGCTGCCCTCCGAACAACCGACGTATCCGAATCAAAACACTTGATCAACAACGCCTCATCCGGCCTCTGCCCGTTCAAAAAGTGCCACCGGTGCGCCGGATTCGGCTTAATCGTCCACGTCTCGGCCCGGTGACGGGGGTAAATAATCGCCCCCGGAACGAGATCCTCCTCCGCGACCGTAGTCCCGTCCGCGACGGCCAGCGGGTCCCGCCGCACCGTCGCGATGGGCCGCCAGATGTTGATGATTTGGAACCGCCGCTTCTCCTTGTCGAGGAGTCTGTTGGCCTCGTCCGCGCCGAGGTGGTGCCTCGCCATCATGACGGCGCCGTCGTAGGACTGGTCCACGTGCGCTTTGTGCAGGGGGCCGCGGTGCTCCGTGTTGCGTTCGCCTAGGCTGTGCCAGTTGGCCGGTCCGCGGCGGATCTGGTGGTTGAAGATGACGACCCGGCTTGCTCCCGTGCTGTTGGTGGTGGTTTGAACCCTGGTGAGCATGGGCCCTCAATTGTGAATGTTGGCCCCCACTGGCGTATATAATAAACCTTACACCGCCCAAAAGCTGCCCACTTTGCGGCCGGCTTGATAAATGAAAGCATGCAAGACTTACATTTTCTTATACAACTTCTCCATCTCGGGGTAGTAGACGCCCTTGACCCGTTCCTCGTCTGTGAAGTCCGTCTCGACGCTGGTATGGCGGACGTACTGGAAGCCGTGGGTGTCGAGGGTGTACTTGTCCTCGTCGCCTCTGATGTCGGTAACGGTGACGGTGCGAGGTGTCATTTTCCTCTCATTTGTGACTTTTTGACTGGAGTTGAACAAAAGGCATGAGTATGTTGAGCCACTGACACGGTACTCAAGAAATGTGAACTCTTGAGGACATGGGTACGAAAAGCGGCCTTACCCCCCTACAACGATTGGGGTGGGAGGGGTTCCATCTCCAGGGTCGTCATAGTAGTTTATGGTGGTGACGACTGCACGTCTCTCCGATCTCTCGGCTTCTGTGGACTTGATCTGTGCCGTGTCCGGCAGAGGCTGGTGATGTGCTGTTCCCACGGCCATGGTTGTGTCTCTGGTTCTATGATATCGGACCACTTGGGCGTCGAACCCAAGATGGTGTAGTGAGTTTGGAGATTCGGTTCGTCCCGCTCTGTATTGTCTGTAATGTACTAGGATATGTGCAGATATGTACGAAGATAACTTGGACGACAAGGTGTGAGCAACTAGCAATGGCAAAACCAAGGCACTGAAGGCAAGATACAATATCAGATCAAACCAAAATAAATGCAAGGGAGCATCTCAAGATCAGAAACACAGTGGTCCCTCATCTGCGAACTGGAGGCTTGCGAGGGGAGTCCCTGGCAGCCGGCGGCACGGCAGAGGGAAGAGGGCCGACTGGACGGAGCTCCGCCTTCTCCTTTTTCCGCGACCCCGCGATGGACGGTGCCCAATGCGTCCATGCACTGTCATTTACGCACGTGATTGGGGTTAAACCGGAATGAGGGGTAATCATTATCCGCACTGTACCAACGTATCAGGAACGAGCAGCCAGTCAAGTGGATCCTATAACCCCATTGCGACAGTTTGGGTTTAGCGCGCTGGATCTCCAATGGGCGGTCCAGGTCCCAGGTGGTGGGGTTTCCAGGGAGAGGTCTCCGCCATGGCCCATGAGAAGCTCCTGCTGGCTGCTGCTGCGGTGCTGCTATTGCTGTCCGCGTTGCTGCGTATGCGTGGCTTCCCGGGGGGCCATTTGCTTGACCGCCCCTCGATTCCCGTCCAGTCCCTTTTTTGGGTTTCGCTTCTCGTCTGAACAGCTCCTGGAACATCTGCTCTTTACCTAACTACGTCTCCTCCCTTTCTTCTACGCTTCTGCTCTCCTATTCTTCTTTCTCTCTTATCAAATTCATCTTTCAAACACATCAAACTACCCCCCTAAAATCAGACACAATGGCCGCTCAGATCCCCCCCGGAGGAACCTACCTCGACACCTTCAAGAAGTCCTTTGTCGATGTCAAGCCCGACGCCGAAAAGGAGAATGCCATCCCTACCTCCGACTTCCTCGATGCCTCCGAGTCTCTGACCACCATCTTCGGTACGTTCTCCCTGCACGGCTGCTCTCTCTCAATACCAGAGGAGACTCCGGGCCTTGACGGTTTCATGTCTCTAACGAATATCCCCTCTTCTAGATGCCCTTGGAGGCGTTGCTTTCGGTCCCGTCAAGAGCGACATGGGCGGCAACATCAAGGTACGACTTGACCCCTGTCGATACCCCCGACACTCTTTACCACATGTTCCGAATCGTCCCTTGTCACGAAGCTCGGATGCCACCATACCGCTCCTACAACTACTACATCCAAAAGACGTCAACGAACAACGACTGACTTGTTCTCCTTGTACAGAAAATCCGTGAGCGCCAGCTGGCTGCTCCCGGCGAGTCTGCCACCCTTCAGGAGCTCGTCAAGGCCGAGCTGGCCACCAAGAAGCACGTTGCCACCGAGGGTCTCCTCTGGCTGGTCCGGTAAGTCTGCTCCTGAGCTCCCTTCACACCGACAACACGGCGGCCGAAACTGACAATGCCAATCTCCCAGTGGCCTCGAGTTCACCTGCATCGCCCTGAGCCAGAACGTCGCCAAGGAGTCCGAGGAGCTCTCCGAGTCCTTCCGCAACGCCTACGCCACCACCCTCAAGCCCCACCACAGCTTCCTCGTCAAGCCCATCTTCAGCGCCGCCATGAGCGCCTGCCCCTACCGCAAGGACTTCTACGCCAAGCTCGGCTCCGACCAGGACAAGGTCGCTGCTGAGCTCCGCGTCTACCTCGCCTCCCTTGAGAAGGTTGTCGGCATCCTCAAGGGCTTCCTCGCCAGCAAGGACGCCAAGTGGTAAGCGCAAACAATGCTCTTGCGCGCGCTGACCGAGAAGAATCAAAGGCCCCCTAAGAAAGCGGGGACCAAAAAGGAGAGAAATAAACAACGAACAATGACGATATGATGGAAAGAACAACATGTCCGTGTCAGTGTCCGCTGCGATGCTAGTACATCGTCAGCCACGAGCCAGTTTACGCAGCCTAGAAATGAATCACAACCTCGAAGCTTGAACCAATTACCTTTGTTTGAGCTTTATGCAATTCAACAATGACGAGCTCAAACAATTGCCTTTGATACTTTTTAACTCTCCTGGAGTCACAGTACAGCATGTCGAGGGTCGTGAAACGAACTTTGTATTTAACGGGGCTTGTCAGCACACTCCTGAACATCTACTTCGCAAAACAGATACATAACAGATAACATTCACACAGCGACAACACTCAGATCATATTCATTATCACATCCGATTTTCTTGAACAGAAGCAGAATTCAGTTCTTCAAAGATACTGCAACATGTCTTTTCCAGACCCAGTCGTCGAGCTCGAGCAAAGCAAGTTCCGGATTCAGTTGCCGGCAGAACTGTACCTTGAGATAGTCCAATGGCTCGGCGAGTTTCAGACCGAGATTAAGAGGCAAGAGTATGTGTTACCGAGATACGGCTTACCCAAAGAGAACGACAACGATGTCAAGAATGACATTGTCAGAGACTTCAGGGATGTAGGATTCCTAAGCACCATTATATCGGCGGCCAAGGAAATGCATCCCACAATGGCCATGCTCAACGCAGGCATGGTCAACAAATACTACCACAAAGCCATCAACGACATTGCTCTCCGGTGGGACGCCCGGAGCGAAAACCCCAGAGCCGTCTACCACGCTGCAGTGCACAACAACGTTGATCTCCTCCGCCAGGCCCTTGAAAAGCCCGGTGCTAAACCGGACTACGTCCCACGGGGCCCACTGCCGTCTTTATGGACGCCACTGATGGTGGCTGCGTCTAAAGGCTATGCTCAAGTCGTGGACCTGCTTCTGCACAAGGGGGCCAATCCAGCACTAAGCTTTGCCGACCGTCATCCCCCATGGTGGAAACCGCGTCCATTTTCTGGATGCCCAGAGTCAGGTATGGGCCTGTATGAGTTTGAAAGAGACCTTTCTCGGCAGCCCTCGCCCCTCCATGCCGCCATGTTGGCTCCCAAGAACGCGTTGGTCATTTCCAAAACCATACTCGGGTCTCTCCCACCACGCTTCTTGACCAAGATTTCCGAACCGCATGGACTCTTCCTTGCTACTGCTGTTGCTCAAGATCACGTCGACTTGGTGGATATGCTAATCAATCGAGGCGCAGATTTTGATCACGGAGGCGTAACTAGCTTCCGTATGAATACTCCGGTACTTCATCATGCCATCTCCGGCGATATGGTTCGCAAGCTGACCCTGGCAGGTGCGCCGCTACATACACCTGTCGAGTTCGGCCTCAATGCTTTCCATGCCGTCTGTCTCCGTCAAGCAGATTGCTCTTCTGCAATAAGAGAGCTCGTTCGACAGGGCGTAAAGCTTGAAGAGACCACGACTAGCATAGACCTACGACCACCTCTGATCCCTGAACGGGGACCTCGCCGGAAGATCCCTCAGACAGCTCTCAATCTCGCATGTAGGCAGCTCAACGTCGCTCACATCCGAACGCTGCTCGAATTAGGCGCTCATCCGCTTGGGGCATGTCTTGAGGAGAGCCCTAGGAAGAAGATGAAGGGCAGTGAGTTCGTGAAGGATAGCGAGCTCTTCAAGGTGACTCCCCTTCACGATCTACTTCTCCCCGATTACTTTGCCCTGCAAGCACACCAAAAGAGCAATGAGGAAATCGCATGCGCCATGAAAGCGGCTTTCAATCTGATGATAAGCCACCCTTTGGCTGCCGAAGCAGTATCGTCTTACGGAAACTTTGCCCTTGGGTGGCCAAAGAGCAATCTCATGGCCAGGATTTTAAGATCATTTTGGATGAGGGGCCGCATCGATTACACAAGAGACTTTGGTAGGTACACCCCGCTCCAGCTTTTCTTCATTCATCCGTTCTCGGACGACCCCGAGATTCCACAGGCCATGTTCGACTTGGTACAAGATGGTAGGGATCAGATCAACACCATCATAAAGCCGCTTTACATCACGCCGCTCCTGGCTCTCCTAGGCCACCGCTTCGACCATTCTCTCGGCGACGCAAACTTTTACCGACCAAAACTGCTCAAGTGGCTCCTGGAACACGGCGCCGACCCGAACTTGTGCGACAGAGAAGGCTTCTCGCCCCTCCATTATGCAGTGTTCTGGCTCGATGTTTCGGCCGTCGAGCTTCTCCTCTTATACGGCGCCCGAGTCAAGCGTGAGGATGAACTCCAGGTCATGGACGTACTGTTCGGTGGCGTCTTCACCAGAGAGCATGAAAAAGAAGCGAAAAAAGATCGCCCCTCACGGAAGAGCGAGTGGACGCAAATGGTGAAGCAAATCCGCACACACGCGTGGTCGATGCACTGTGTCGACAGCAACATTGAGCGATGGCAGCCCGGCACGCCGCTGCCCGCATGTACGCTCTTCAAATTCGAGGTTAAGCTTATATTTGAAATGTACGATGAGGTGTTCTTGCCTTCAGAGCTCGTGACGCGGTGGGGAGGGCTGCGTGAGGCTCTGAAGGGGGATGCCGACGAGCGTAGGAAGCGAATCTTTGCGGCGCTGCTGCCAACGCCAAACGTGCTACCCTTTTTTAAGCCCAAGGGGGTTATGAAAGGTGATGGTGAGTTGGACCCTGGCGAGGATGGGTCCGGTCCTGACACGATTCGGTACAGTGTTTTGGATTGGGCCACGGCGACGGCCCAGGATGACTGGTTCTTGGACGAGATTAAGCGGCTTGGAGGGGAGACTGGAGATATACGGCCCAATACTTGGCTGGAGACATACAGTTATTATCCGTAGAAGTCTTTTCCTTATTTTCAGGAATGGAAGGCTGTAAACAGACGAGATTTTTAGAAGGAAAAAACATTTTTCCAAATTTCTCACGTCAGAAGTGTGAAGTGATGTAATGCATGTAGTCTAGTGAGCACATGTAGGTGGCCATAGATATATCCAACGATCAGTTCAGGCCCGATATCTGATGATTTCCTCTTCTTCGTCTAGATCGGGGTTCCGTATTGCGTCAAGATGCCCGACCCGAGATGCAGGAGCAATCTTGGAGGGGCTTGAGATGATTTCGTCAACACGTCGATGGGAATCCTGAGCCATCATGTGGGGAATACTCTGTGCTGTTTTTTTCGCAAAGAGAAAGGATAATGTAAATTCGATGACCACTGGACTATATTAGTAGTCATGTCCACTGTGTTAGCCCCCCAAGATACATTAATGTGTTAGAAATCCTCAATATTGCATCCATCATCGGAGACGAGTAGATGGTGGCCGTGGCGACTGCTTGATGTTCTCTGGAGTCGGCAAGAAGACGGGCAAGGCATGGGAGAGGTCACGTTGTTGAAAGACGTGTTGCTTGTCTCGTCGGAGTTGAGAAACGTTTAGTCTGTTTGTTGTGAGGAGAGCATATGGATTAAACAAAATTTATCACTGAACAGCAGAACGGTCAAACTGGAGATTCATAGGATCCGGTTTCTCGTGGTTGGTGTCTTGAATATTCAGGGAGTCTAAAAAGAGTGACTGCAAACTTGAGCAAGAAAAATCACGGCCAGCTTGGTGATAAAAAAATCAAGACCAACCGCCAACCTGTATAGTTCTACAGATGGACGCTGGAGCTTTGATCTCATCAGCGAAGCCGACGGCAATACATGTATCCATCACTGTGGATAAGTCACTCTTGATGTCGCTCGACGCTTTTCCACCGGAACCGACAGGGGTCATGGTCCGATGGGATGTCAGAGATTCTAGACCGCCCATCGAGGAAGTCATCTGAGAAAGTGTCGATCTGCGACGGGGTCCCCCCTCTCAGGGCTGACTCGGGCTCTCGCGAGATTCACAGAGGGGCTCCCGCCGGGTTCTTTTGAGAAAGGAAGTAATCCTCTTCATTTCGTGATGGTCTTTTGATACCTTTGTCTAGACTTTTGGTGAGATCTGTTTGTCTGATCCGAGTCAGTAATCATCGCCCGGTGCAAGGGGCAATGAGGGGATACGCAATATCTTGTTAAGCCAGGAGCCAACGCCTGGGCTGGAGAAGAGAAGGATGGACACGTTCATTTACCTCCATTCTTTCAACAATCCGAGGCATATAGTGAAGCTAATACGTATGGCTTTCTTGGGAATCACGACTGATTTAACCGGACGGCTGCGTGATGTGTGCACAGGGAAGATCCAGCACAGAAAGTCGACTGAAGGAGCCATTGACCTTGGATCTCAAACATCTCGGACTCCTAGCTCGAAAGCAGAACAATGCAGAAGATTGCAAAACATCTATGTTCTAAAGAAATGACAATGTCTAGTAGAGATCGAGGCAATGTCATTGCTTGAGAAGTCGACTGACGTCGGGTCTCTCCTGGGACCCCGCCCAACAGGCTGCCCGCGCGAGTGCGAGTATCCGTATTGCTGATTAACAAGGAGGGCCTATGTTGGTTACGCAGTAGCCCGCGATCGAGCGGAAGATGAAAGCCACAGGGGGAGAAGCTTCGATCAGTCAGGCTCGGACATCGCCCGCGCATGCTATAAGAGTGTGTCCGTAGCTTGTCTCCGGAGTAATCCCATGACAAAGTAGTGGCAAATTATAGGACTGATGTTTAGGCAAAGGGTTGAACATGGATGGCATTGGTGGAACTTACCTAACGGGTGTTATCCAGCTTCGCGGACGCCCGAATCCTGATCCCCTAAGCTCAAAGGACCTGGAGCGGGTTTGACCATCTATATGAAGTTCCGGGGCAGTAGCGAGAGTGAAGGCGGTTGCGGGTTGCCGCCAGGTCAGACTATTAGAGATTATACGCTCAAAAAAAAAACAAAAAAAAAACGGCAATCTGCGGGAATAGCGGCCTCGTGACTCGTAGCGAGTTTCCTCGAGATAGAATTTTAGGCAATCTTGAGATTGTTTCTATATCGCATCGGCCTGCAAGAACTTTGCGAGTACCTAGAAAGCAAACGTGCGTTGGGAGGGGGGGAAAAGGTTAATATGTTTTCTAAGATTGCGCATTTTGGGGATGTGGGAGTGCGTCGTGAGATTACCCGCTGTTTCTTTGCTCATTGTGCCCCGGGCCGGAGGGGTATCCGCTCATCGGCATGAAATGCCGGACAGAGTTCTTGGGGAATTTGCTCGGAGTTGATTACGGATATACAGAAACCAGAATTGTGGTTGTGTCCTAGCTGTCCTAGCTGTCTATCACCTAAGCACTCGAACTGAGTTGAGACAAAAGACTACCTAGATCTAGCTTCCTTTGATGCGTCCGTGTGCAAATCACCAATGACGGAGGGGAAAAGTCTAATTATCGGTAGGTATAACCAAGATCCAGACGAATATGATCGACTGAGCGGAATACTACATCGAATAAAAGGTAGCAAGCAGCATGGCGATCCAAACGAGAGCCTACGAATCACGGTTCCGGGTTTTGTCGGTATTTTCGTATGGGTACACTTTAGTTTGAGAAAAGAAGCGCGGGAGAGGCGCGGCGGCGGCGCCCAGCCAAGCCCACACACTGGATCCCCAAGGCGTTACAACTTTGTTGGCTGGTGGAGTTGGGAGTGGGAGCCGGGGGTGCTTGGCAGGAGAATTTCGAAATGATTTTGGGATTAGCGTCAGGGGCGGGATGCTCGTGTTGACAAGGGTCCTAGGCGAGAATCCTCTTTGGAGACCGACACTGACTGACTGGCCTTGTCGTGGGCCGTGACCCGTTATCCTTGAAGGAGAAGGACTGTGGCAGGAGGAGGAGGAAGTCTAGAATTTCGGGGAATTTCAATGAGCTGACTGTATCATTTGAGGGATTTGCAGCAGTTTGGGACGGGATGCTCGATGCTAGCTAGGCGCAGGGCGAGGCGGCTATCTGCATGGTGGTCCATGGAATCACAGAGTATGGGTCGGGAAGTTTTTGGCGGTTGGCATGAGGCGAGGTGATGTCAATAACCTGGGGTCCTGTCAGAGAAGCGTTGGTGATATATGAAGACAAAACAAGAAAAGAAACCACCAGTCTGACAGTTCATGTATAATCACTCAGTAACTATCGAGACGGAACCGCTCTTCTTGAAGTTCATCTACAGATGCAGTTTGGTCGGCTTCAAAAGATGGTTGAAAACGATCGTGGATGAGATTCAAATTTGTGGATGGCTTCATAGTTCGCTAGAGAGAGGCTTGTTTCTCATCTCATATTTACCTTACTCGGGGAACGAAATGATGGTGTGTGATGAGATTCATGTGGATGACAAAGAATTGGGAATCGAATCAAGTTGAGATGAATACGAAAAAGACGCGAAGAACAAAAAAGTTGGGGAAAAAAAAAACTGTAATCATCATCCCAACTCGCATAGCAACACTCATGAACCGCCAATCTAGTTGCGACTCGGTAAACACTGAAGCGTCAAGGCAACCCCAGTCAACGCTGACAGGTGTGACAAGGGATAGACAGGACGTTCACACAGCGTCTGCAAGCGAGTGGAAAGAGAAACCGAGAAGAGAACAGACGGCAGCCGGGCAGACCAAAGCCTAGGCCCCAACGTTGAACCCATACGCGCTAGACTGATTAGGGGGCTCAGCAGCCAACAAGATGAATTTAATGATTTAATCAAGAAGCTGGAAAATGAGCTGATGGCGGATGGATCATGGGTTGACAGAGCTTGTCTCTACGGCTGGGCCATTTAGTTGCGATGGCTGTGAGTCTGCAGCTGCGGAAGACTGGAAGTCAAGTGCCCTGTTCCCCGGATTTTCGGAATGTTCCCAAGCCTTGAAGCACTATCTCCTTTGTAAATCCGTGGAAGAGCTGACAGACGAAAACAAAAAAAGGCGGAAAGAGAAAGACAGTGACCGAGAAGAGTGGGATGTCGAGACCAGGTTCTTGAAACCAAGCGATCTACAGACGGTGGCTCATTGGTGGAATGCGCCACGATGACCCTGGACCATCCACTTGTTTGACATGAATTAAGGAGTGGGCGGGAGGCCGAGGCGCTGAGGGTGGTGCATTTTTGCCTTGGAGTCTTCCCTCAACAGTCACCTTTCTCTCTCCCTTCCCGCGTACGGTACGGAGTAATACGTCTCTGACCGTACGCTTGGTAAGAGACCAATGGGCACTAGCAGGCCTGTTTCTGTTCTTTGGTGCCCCGTACTTCCGTAGTGATGGTCTAGTCTCTTTGTAGTTTCGCTGGACGGAATCACGGATACTATGCCTCGTGCAAGGCCTGGTCCATGAGCCGAGAGGCCCGTCGTCTGAAGTTGAGAAATAAGATCGGGTGTTAAAGGCAGGGCACGCAGCTACCCGCGAATCCGAGCTTCTGCATGACAATCCCTTGCGGGAATCTATCCATTGCGCGGGATCATGAGTGTACGCCGTACGGGTAGTGTGTAAAATCAGAGCTTACCAAGACGAACCTCTCTAGGGAAACGCTGTCGGCTATTGGGGGTAAACCTGGTAAAGACGGGAGGAAACGAGACGACGGCCGGCTCTGAAAGAAACAACGGAAGTTTAATACAGAGTACTTTACGTAGTAGCAAATGGCAGCATGGAAGTCGGATACCGTCATCTCCCACCCAAAGCATCTTCAATGGTTCCTACACTCACAGTGTAATCGACGGTTCTTTGCCCAGGATCCCGGAAACTCTTAGCGCTTGGTCTGTCCACCGCCACTCCGTCTGGGTCTTCTGTTCTTCTCGGTTGGCGTTCCATGGCGTTCCCATCCAGAGTGAAAGTCTTACACTAGCCCACTGGCCACTCCATGTAGCCAAAGCCACCCCGGGCCCCGGGATGGACGGGGTGGGGAACAGTCGAAATTGCATCCTCCGCCGCGTTTGCTGTGGTGAAACGGCCAGGGAGATTTGACCAGCCCAGGATCGTGTGCAATCGACTTACACGCACATACGCCCATCCAGATTACAGAGAGGGGCTACTCCGTACGTACAGAGTAAGGAACCACATACTCTATTGGGTCCTCGTCTAGCAATCTAGCCCTGTCGCCCTCGACTCCTCTCTGTCTGTCTACGACTGACACTGACACCGCGACGGCGGTGCTCTCCCGAACTCTCCAGAGACTAGAGTCCACACACCCCCTTACCTGATGCTGGTCTATGCTGGCCATGTTGGTGGTAATGGTGGTGCGGGTTCCCAATATGGGCAATATGGGGATCTTGTTGAACGGCTCCATTCGCGCCATTGTCTTCTTTAAATGGAGGCAAACACCGCACCTCCCAGCTAGACACCAAGGCTTCCTCTCTTCTCTTCTTCTTGCGACCAAGGGATTGTTGACCATCTCCTTGCCCCAACCGACATTCTTTTTTCCAGACATTCGTTCATTCACTCATTCAAACAAAGGCCCTAGTCCTTTTCACAAAGCTACCAAACGAAACATACACGATCATTCATTTACTGAACTTTGAAAGTTCCTGAACTGCTATATACAAACAGCAAACATGCGTTTCTTCTCCGTCCTCGGCTTCGCGGCCGCGGCCGTTGCCCAGCTGACGTCGTCTTCCCTCGAGAAGCACGTCGATACCGCCACCATCAAGTCCTTCAACCCCATCAAGGAGGCTTACTGGACCGGTCTCCCTCACCACCGCCGCACCCCCTTCGCCGTCTCCCCCGACGGAAAGTCGGCCTGGCTCGCGTACCTCGACTCCTCCGAGACGGGCGTCCACGTCCAGCAGATCGACCCCACCACCTTCGCCGCCACCGGTGACCCCGTCACCGTCTCTGGTGGTAAGGAGGCCGCCGGTCTCGTCGCCCACAACGATGGTTTCGCTCTCATGACCAACGAGGTCCTCTCCGGCTCCGGCACCGACGTCGCCATCGCTGTTCTCTACCGCTACACCACCGGCAAGACCGAGCCCACCTTCAAGACCTGGCTCGGCGGCCCCAACGTCGACGGCAGCCAGGCCATGGCCTCCCCCGACGTCAACGGTGACCTCGTCTTCTCCGAGAAGGCCGGCTACTACGCTGCTTACATTGTCGTCACCGCCTACCAGGGCGATGCCACCGGTCACTTCGGTGACGCCATCCGCTACGTTGACACCGCCGGCAAGCTCACCTCCATTGCCGGCGCCTCCTCCAGCTGGGGCTGCTCCCACAACACCGGTATCGCCTTCGAGGCCGCTGATGCCGCTCCCTTCGCCTCCATCTGCGCTGAGGACCAGGGCGCCATCTGGCTCAACACCAAGTCCCAGGGCATGACCAACGACAACGTCAAGATCTCCAACGAGCACGTCATCAACGGCGGTGCCAACGAGGCCATGGGCGGCATGTCCGGATCCTACTCCAACCTCGCCCGCTTCATCGGTGCCGACTCGTACATCTTCTCCTGGGTCTCCCGCGGCGCCATGGACCTGACCGAGAACTCCTGGATGGGCTCCGGCTACACCACCTCCAAGAACCGCACCAACAACCGCAACGTCGCCATCGCCCTCTTCTCCGACAAGAACACCCTCGTCGGCTCCCAGGCCACCTCCGTTGCCGGCACCGCCGACGGCGACTCCCAGATCAACTGGATGACCTCGGGCTCCAACGACTGCTCCAACGCCCACGCCGCCACCTTCGACTCCTCCAAGGCCCTCGTCACCTGGGAAGAGATCTCCTCCCCCACCTGCGCCTTCGACGCCATGGGCTGCCAGGGTACCTTCGCCGGCACCAAGTTCCAGATGGTCGGCAGCGACGGCAAGAAGATTGGTGAGGTCCTTAGCTCCGACGACACCTACGTCGCCGGCGACATGGTCACCATGTCCGACGGCCGCATCTGCTGGCCCTACGTCTCCATGACCTGGAAGCTCGACGGCCCCGTCACCGGCTCCCCCGTCACCAAGATGTCCTTCGCCTGCATGACTGGTGGCGCCGGCTCCGGCACCGCTTCCTCCGCTGCCCCCGCTTCCTCTGCTGCCCCCGCCACTAGCGCCGCCGCCGTCGCTTCTTCCTCCGCTCCCGTCGCCGCCGCTCCCTCCACCACCGAGGCTGTTGACGCCGTCGCCACCAGCGCCGTGAACTCCGCTGACCCTACCTTCGCCTCCGGCACCGCCCCCGAGCCCATCTTCGAGACCATCTCCGGCCCGGCCTACACCCCCTCTGCCTCCGCTTCCGCCCCGGCCGCTGTTCCCACCTCTTCCGAGGCCGCCTCCGTCCCCGCTGAGGCTCCCGCCTCGTCTGCCCCGGCCGCCTCCGCCTCCGCCCCCTCCGGCGCCCCCATTCCCATCTTCGAGACTCTGTCCCAGGCCCCTGTTTCCTCTGCCGCTCCCGTTCCCGGCACCACCGTCTCCGAGGCCAAGCCCGAGCTGACCGCCACCCCCTCCGGCGCTGCCTCCAAGACCAAGAAGACTCGCACCCGCACCAAGACCCGTGGCCCCAAGCCCACTGGTGCCCCTGCCCAGAGCGGCAAGTGCAGCACCCGCACCACCATCAAGACCGTCTACGTCACCGCATAAATGAGTAGATGATCTGGTGCAAACCTACCTTGTGGGGATGATGATAAGGGGTTGAGTTGAGGGAAGAGTGTAAGAGAGAAGGAGTTAGGAGTAGCAGCATTGAGCACATCTCTCTTCAACAGGTGAAGAGAATGTGGCTTGATGAGTTTTCATGTACATACTATGTACGACTTGTACACAAATTTCCCGCCTCGCATCTTCTGTTCCCTTGCTCATCCGCTTGATTGAAAGGGAATACGAAGAGCGAGTCAAGGCCACTGGCCGGTTTTGAGCAAAATGGAACAAACACTCAGTTCATCATCGGCAGTATTCCGGCACGCCTCCCAATTTGCTTTCCACGTTTGTGTGCCATGTCCTTTATTTTGCGGGCCTCTTAGTCCCAAGTGAGCAGTTGACTAAGTCAATTATAGACGTGACCGAAACCGATACGATGAGATGCGAGGAATTCGGAATCCGGCAGGTGAGTGTTGTGGAAAAGCCATGTGATGAACATGGAAGATGAGTCGTGTGCAGTTCTGAGAAACGATGGGAGGAAGAAGAGGGAAATGAGAACCAAAAAGTCAGCGACGACCTCGCTGAGATCAAAGCGGCACCTTAACACTGATGCTAACGGCCAGTTCCGAACCAATAGACCCGCCGATGGTCTTCAGAAGCAAACTTACTATGGTCCAGAACCAACCAGAGTTAACATCTTCTCTTTGTCAGCAGCCAGATGGACACCAAAAGACCAGGGGTTTTCCTCTCAGAAATCATTTTCCAACCAACGGATACCAACGGTCGACTTGTCTCAGTTGAAGCTAGTCTTGGTTTTCTCCCTCCCAAGGATCGAAAGAAATAAGAGGCGGCCTAAACACCCACGAATGGGCAGACCAGCGGAGCCACATGGCGATGATGGCACAGGATGAACCCTGTCGCATATCCTGCTAGCTTCAGGGGCGACCATCTGTCAGACTGTAAGGTACCGCGCTGCGGACGAATCGACGATAACGGACCGCCATTGGGGGCCGCTTCCATGCCTCAAAAGAGCAAGAGGAGTTAAAGCTGACAGTCATGACAGGGTAGCAGCAAGCCAATAACAATCAACATGTGGACTTTTACGTCCTAATTGGGCGGTTCTATCCGAGCTAGAGAAGACGGGTACCCCATTGAGCTCTTCTCATCGATAGATGGGAGATCATCAGGGGACCAGTTGAGTTTCGATGATCATCAAGGGACCCAATGACCGCGCATGCACAGCATTTGAGCTTAAACCGCGTTTGTCTCTTTGAGAATGGAATCGAGTCCACAGAAAGGGTTCCCGTCTTCGCCTCTCCCTGGTTGGACCCTGACTCTTGTCCCACCTGATTCCTACCTGACGGCCCATCGTCCGTACACGGGCAAGAACCCATGAGTCCATCACCAACGCGGGATGTATCTGGCCGAAAGCGTGCCTTTTGTGCTGTCATCCCCCCGGGGAAAGACGCGTGGAGCCCGTCAGCGGCATCGTTCCCAAGAGTCCAAGACACGTTGTCCGGCTATCATAGCCGTCCTCGATGAGATGATGAAGAAGGCGGCGAGTTGGGTCCCCCACCTCCGGGCAGTATCCGGCAATATCCAAGACCATGTGGTCGTGGGAATAACCTAATCGAGTGGCAGCTAATCCGTCAACGTTGCATTCCATTCACCTACCAATCCCCTCCGTCTCCTCCATCCCATACTAACAACCCCTGCCACGGAGAGGAGAGCCAGATGACCTCGTAGGCTCGTAGCCCGAATAGGCGGCATCGCGCCATCTTTCGGCCGCGTCTCCTCTCGTCCAGTCACGCGTGAGATGCACTCCCCGATGTTCGAAGATACCTTGCTCGGTTTCCGTCCCGGCAGCTGCGCCATTGCCGACACACCAATCTGATATGGCCTATGGCTAACCCTCCTTGGGTAAGGGGAAGGGGGGAAGCAAGACATGCAGATAGAGACGATGGAGGGAGAGAAGAGAAAAGCGACCACCTTATAAGGCCGAGTGGCCGCCTCTCCCGTCAAGTCTCATGATGTTGAAGCTGTAGGCATCTCCTCGTCGGTGATCTCGCGCTCACCAAGTCACTCTTTGAACATCAGCCAGGCCAGCTTCGTTGCTGTGCGTCCTCTCATTTCCCCAACGACATTCGTTCTGAATACCCAACACTCTTTGGTCCTCCTTGACCCTTTTCCTTGATACCCTCATCATGGTCCGCTCAAGTGTAATCGGCCGTTTCCTGGCCGGGCTGCTCCTTGCTTCCGGTGCAGCCGCCCATACCGAAGGCTGTAGCTGCTCCTCTGATGGCATCCAGCGCGTCACCTACATCGTCGTCGAGATGCCCGATCAGCCTGAACAAGCAGCCTCCTCCTTGTCCTCCTTCACAACACTAACCACCGTCCCGACGCCAACGTCCACGGAGAGGTTCACCGCGCAAGCAGCGCACGTAATCGAGGATATTCCAGCCTACGAACCCATCGCCATCAAGCCCGAAGCGCTCCGTCCAGCCGTAAACACGACACACACCTTTGGCGCCACCCCCGCTCCTGGCATCGACACCAAAGACCCCATCAACATCGTCCCGGCCACAAATGTCTCACTCTACTACGCGGCTACGGACACGGAGGAACAGGGCTCCATCGACATGAAGCTCGCGTTCAAGAACCCCGCCGTGGTCCTCGAGCACGTCAATGCCGTCAGCAACGTCGCGTGCGGAGATGACGAGCTCACCGTCTCCTTTTCCTCCGCCGACACTTTTGCCGAGGCCGTCAAGGACTGGTCCGACTCTGCCGAAGAAGGATTCATCCTCATCACCAACCACATGGGCAACTGCGACGCCGAGTTCGAACGAGGCTTCTTCCTCGCAACGGGCCTGACCTCCAGCGAGGGTGACCTCTCCATCACAGTCGCCGCTTCAAAGGAGGAACTCACCAACATCGCCGGCGAGTGCGAAATGTCCTTCACTTCCTTGCCGGCTGCCACGCTCTCCAAGCGCCTCACTCTCGACCCGTCCGTCTCCCTCTCCTTCGCCGAGGGCCTCGCCGAAAATACGGTCCTCTACAGCGACGGGCAATACGTCAACATCACGGCCGATGAGGCCTGGTTCAGCTCCAAGATCACCTTCTCAGGCTACCTAAAGTACAACTTCTGGGGCTTCAAGCTGCAGGCCCTGTACTTCGACCTCGACACGACCTTTGACTCGGCCGTCGGCGTCTCGGTCGACGTCGCCGCCTCCTACAGCCACGCGCTCAAGTACGCCCCGGACGCGTTGTCCTACTCCCTCGTCTCCGTCCCCGGTATCGTCGAGCTCGGTCCGGGTGTAGCCTTCGCAGTGGGCTTAGACTTTGACGTCTCTGCTGCTGTGGGCGTCACGGCGGGACTGAGCGTGAGTCTGCCGGGGGGCAACGTCCACCTCGACCTCCTGCACGGGGAGAAGTCGTCGGCGAGCGGGTGGGAGCCAAAATACAGCAGCTACGCCAACATCACCGAGTCAGCTGATGTGCGCGTCGACGCCTCAGCCGACGTTACCGTGCAGCTGGCGTTCAAGTTGCTCGGCGGGCTGGTCGATCTCAGCTCCGGCATCACGGCGACGCCGGGGTTCGATAACGTGTTCAAGCTGCGAGGGGAGCAGAACCTGGGGGTTAGCGGTACTATTGGTAGCGGCAGCAGCAGTAGCAGCAGCACTATCGGGGGCGGCAACTTTACGAGTAAGCCGGCCGAACTGACGCAGGTTAGCGTTGATGTTCCCAAGGACGGGTTGATCTGCGCCGAGAAGAATGGGGTCGAGTTTGCGACAGACTTCTACTTCAACTTGACTGGGTTCGCGACCAAGTGGTGGAGCGGCGAGCTGTACAGTACCCGTGTGCCGCTCTGGGATCTGTGTTACAGCTTTTGAGGTGCTTCGCACCGTTGGTGACGTGCTCTTGGCATGTCTTACGACTTTTCCTTTCTTCGTTCATGACGTATACTGTGTAGTACCTTAATACCTATTTGCGTTGTCCACATGTAGGGACTAGTGCCCAACAGCCTCTGTGTTCAGTCGCCTTGCCCTACGCAATAAAATCGCATAAAGTACTTGGGCCATGTTCACCTCTTCTCCTCGTCGACGCTTCTCTTTGCTCGAACCTAAGCACGACCGTAGACTACGATGGCATAAGATGGGTCTATGATGAGTATATGCCGCACCAAGACATGATCAACGCGGGTTTCGCAGACGATCACGAGTTCCAGAGCCACAGAAAGCGAGCGGCAGATGCGAGGGGGATTCCAATAATAGATGCAGCTCTGCTCGGCGGCGGGGAGAGAGACAAGAACCCGACGTGATCTGCCTCCCGCCTCTGTAAAAAGAACGGAGACCGAAACCGGGACGGGCGAAGAGTCTGGTCTGGACTCAACTCCCGGCTCAACTTGACTGGGTCCTGACTTAAGGTGGACTCTTCCAACTTTGTCAAGGGCACTCGAGTCGATCGTTCGAGATAGTTCTCAAACCCCCACAATCCACCATCACATCATTCAAGCCGCTGGCTGGACCTCCATGCCCCCTCCCTCCTCCCCGCCGCCCCTGCCCAGGGTTGTGGTTCCCCCGGTCTACTGTAAATCAAGCTTACTATGGTGATATTGGAGCTTATTTACTGTTAATGTTTAAAAAATTCTTATTCTTTCTAGACCGTGCTCGCTCTACCCCCTTTTTCTTCTATGTGGTGAGGTTGTCTACTGGGGTTTGAGGTTTCAGGAGTCCGACATCCCGAGTTACGGATGGCACATGACGTTATTCGTCCATCGGATGAGCTGGAAGAACTTGGGTTGAGCGTCACCTAACAACTTTGAACTGGCAGTCTGACAGCCAAGGGGATCCCCAGACGGACGTTTGGGAGGTGGGCTTGGCGCATTGCGTGTTGAGCTTTTTCTGTCTTTGCTCACAGTTCAGATGGGATGCTGTCAACCTGGGCAAACTTGCCAAGGGTATTTGACGTGGTAGTTGGGGGAATAGAATGCCCTTCAGCCAAGACTTATCCAAGACCTTTTTCTGGAGGGATGTTGAGACAAACCGAACTCCTGAGACTGCTCAAATGCGACTCCGCGAAACTTTTGTGGAGAAATCTCCGTGGTGGAGCTGCGAACATCAACTTCAGCCAAGACCAACCCACAACTCTTCCGCCATCAACAACAAGGGGCTCAGTTTGCCAGTCACCTTGACAATTGCTTCTCAGTCTCCATAGTCAATCCAGGTGCCGGGAATTGTAGACGTTGGAGGCAAGGCTGATCTGAGAGGCCGCTCCGAGAGTCTGGCACATGCCATGGTTAGAGAGTGGTGACTCGGATCCATTGATCCAATGGTGGTTTGTTTCACGAGGGTTCTCCCCCCTCCCCCCCCCTCTTGAGGCTCATGGGATGATGGTATTGGCATCATACTCCATGGTCCATCACATTGAGACCCACGGGCGGCTGGAGTTCAGCGCAAGAATACCAGATGATGGCGCGAAGACAGGGGGAACACATGGTGGCAGGCAGACCTTAATTGAGAGGTGGAATTGACTGACAAGATGGGATATAAAGCACGGCTTCTTGGCCGCTGATGATAACGATTATTCTTTCTCTTCACCCTCACCTCATTTCTTCCATCACCACACTCTTCTCCTTCTCCTTTTCCCTTGAGCCAGTCTCATTCTCTTCCACACTACTCGGGCAGTAGTCGTTCTTTCACCTGTACTTTACTCTCTTTCCATTCTCACCTTCTATTTTCCCCCATATCTCTCTCTTCTCCCCAAACTCCAAAATGAAGTTCTCCACAGCAGCCATCGCCCTCCTAGCCGGCGTCGTCGCCGCGGCGCCCGCCTCCGAAGTCTCCCGCAGCCGCCAGCGCCGCGCCGGGGGCAGCGAACTCATCCAGCAGCTCCAGTCCACCTTTGACCGTAACAACCCGAACGGCACTCCCGCCGCAGCCGGAGACCCGGACGACCTCAACGGCGACGGCGTCATCAACGTCTTCGAGGCCGGAGCCCAAGCCAGCAAGCGTAAGCGCGGCGGTGGCGGTAACGGTGGCCAGCAGGCTGCTGGTGCCGGTGCCGGTGGCAATGGTGCCCAGGCCAAGGGTGGCAATGCCGGCGGCAACGCCAACAACCAGAACAACGCCGGCAATGCTGCGGACGAGGAAGACGCGGCGGCTGGAAACGGCGGTGCTGCTGCCGATGAGGAAGATGCGGCTGCTGGTAACGGCAACGCGGCCGCCGGCAACGGTGGTGCTGCTGCAGATGACGAAGAAGACGCTGCTGCTGGCAACGGCAATGCGAACGCCGGTAATGCCAATGCTGGAGCAGGCAACGCGAAGGCTGGCAAGAACAAGAACGCTGCCAACGGCGCCGCCAACAACGCTGGCAACGCCAATAATGCTGGCAATGCCGCTGCTGGCAACGGTGCTGCCGCAGACGAGGAGGACGCGGCCGCAGGCAACGCAGGCAATGCCAACAACAACAACAATGCAGGCAACGCAGCTGACGAGGAGGATGCCGCAGCTGGGGACGCCAACGCTGGCAACGCGAACGCGGGCAATGCCAATGCCGGAGCTGGAAACGCAAAGGCTGGCAAGAACAACAACGCCGGTAACGCTAACAACAACAACAATGCTGGCAATGCGGCCGATGAAGAGGATGCTGCTGCCGGCAATGCAGGCAACGCCGCCGACGAGGAAGACGCCGCCGCTGGAAATGGCAACGCTGCTGCTGACGAAGAGGACGCGGCGGCTGGCAACGGTGCTGCTGCCGATGAGGAAGATGCGGCCGCCGGCAACGGAAACGCCAATGCGGGCAACGCGAACGCTGGAGCTGGAAACGCAAAGGCCGGCAAGAACAAGAATGCCGGTAACGCCAACAACAATGCCGGTAACGCTGGCAATGCCGCCGATGAGGAGGACGCCGCCGCAGACAACGGAAACGCCGCTGACGAAGAAGATGCTGCCGCCGGCAACGGTAATGCCGCTGACGAGGAGGACGCCGCCGCCGGTGGCGCTGCCAACAACGGGACCGCCAACGCCGGAGCTGCTACCGGTGGTGCTAGTGCCGGCAAGGCCAACAAGGCGAGCAAGGCCAAGGCCTCTCGCAACGGCCGCTCTCTCAACCTTTACGCCGCGCGCAACATTGCGCGCGGCCGTCCCTCCCGGCGCACGTAATTTCTCCTTGGGTGCTGAGGAGTCTGTCTTTCATGCCGCTGCTGGTGGGAAAGGCGACTCTGATGACCTAGACCGTCTCGGAAGCGCCGGCGATGACTCTGAACAAAGTGGTGGCGCAAAGGGCACAGGCAAAGGCAAGGGCAAAGGCAAGAACAGGTCGAAAGGCAAGTCTTCATCATATTCGTTTAGGAAAGGCGACGAGGGCGGAAATCGACCTGAGAAGGATGGCCGACCTGATCGGTCTGGCGATGGCCTCAGGGCGGAAGAAAGTCCCGCAATGATCGGTCGCCCTGATGGTCCTGGGTCTGGGCTTGGGTTTGCTGAGTTGTCCGAATTTTTTGAGATTCGGTGTGATGAGTGAAGAAAATAAAGTGGTAATTTAAAACTGGCGTAGCGTTTTGTTGGTAATGTGAGGGAATACCTGTCTTTACTGTTCTATACCTAATTCAATGAGATGGGGTGATAACATTAATCGAGTACAAGCTGATATGTGCCAAATGTCGCCTAAAAGTACCTATTGGCGTGGTCATCTCAAGGTTCAAGATTGAGTAGAAGATGGCTTACATCAAAGGGTCGTGTTTGGTCTCTGGAATAGGTCCATGCATGGAGTCAGCTTTTAACTTATTGAAATCTTAGTCGCTGAGCTACAATTGAAACCACTCTAACCGTTTCAAGATGATTTGAAGGTTTTGTATATTGACTGTAGTTTAGTTGTGAAGTCAGACCATCCATTTCAACCATTAGGCCTAACGTCGCGAACCGGACTATGCGTGCGGGATTATGGACCGAGCTAAGTAACTAGTAATCAGTTACCAAAGATCGCGATTCTAGCCTTGATCAGTCAAGATATGTCAGCTTCTCCGGAAATGCCGCTGCCATACCGTCGACCGGAGCTGCAGGTCCGGCTTCGAGTTCGCCACGGCCCGCCGAGACACAGCAAAGTGGGACCGGGCGTCGGACGGCCCCAAGACTTCTATGACGATTTTGTTGCGTCAATCTTTCCGACGTCACTAGCTGGTCACCCAATATCTGAATTACAAACCATTAACTTCTCATGTGATATCTGATTGTACGTTGTATAAGATTCAGAAAAGAAGACCGTCGCTCTCATCAATTAGACCTGAAATTGTAGGAAAGATACCCCCTGATCATCAACCGAAGACCGCCACGCTAGAGTCATAACTAAAGTACCTTGGAGAAGAGAAGAGAAACAGAAGCTCTTTAGAGAACAATAGAAGAGGACAAAAACTCACCAAACTTCCGCCATGAGTTCACAAAGCCCAGTCTTTCAGCTAAGCGGCACATGCAACAACTACGACTGGGGCAAAAAGGGTCGCGACTCGCTCGCCGCACGCCTCTGCGAAAACACCCCAAGCGGCTTCACAATAAACGACAATGAGGCCTACTCAGAAATGTGGTTCGGCGACTACCCCGACTTTCCCGCACGCGTGTTGGACACAGGCGAGCTCCTCAAAGACGTCTTAGACAAGAACAAGGAACAACTCCTCGGCAAAAAAGTCATCACCGAGCTCGACGGCCAGCTGCCCTACCTCCCCAAGATCCTCTCCATCGCAAAAGCCCTACCCCTCCAGATCCACCCAAATAAGTCTCTTGCAAGCAAGCTCCACGAGAAGGACCCCGAGAACTTCACCGACGCCAACCACAAGCCCGAGATTGCCGTGGCGCTGGGCCCATTTGAGGTCTTTGCCGGGTTCAAGCCCCTGGACCAGATCTCGCCCGTCTTCAACATCCCCGCTCTGCGCGACCTGATCCCCGACGGGACAACCAGGTGGACCGACGAGACGTTGCGGGAGGTCACACGCCACATCCTGCTCGCCGACGAGGACACCGTCGAAAAGGCGTCAAAGGCTCTCGGCGGCACCCCGCGCGAGGAGCTGGGCGGGAACGGGTACGTGCTGGATCTTCTGCCGCGTCTGCAGGGTCAGTATGGTAAAGGGGACAACGGCATCCTGGTTGCGCTATTGTGTATGAACTTTTTGTCGCTGGAGGCCGGTGATGCCTTGTATATCCCTGCCGACGGGATTCATGCTTACCTGTCTGGAGACATTGTGGAGTGCATGGCTCGTTCAAACAATGTCCTCAACACAGGCTTCTGTCCGCCTGGCGACAGGAACAATATTGATTTGTTCAGCAAGACGTTGACGTTCAAGGCGCATAGCAAGGATGACGTGCTACTACCAGCGAAGAAGAGTCCCCGGGGCACACAAGGACGCACGGTTGTGTATCCACCGCCGTTGAGCGAGTTTGACATGTTGAAGACGGACTTGGATGAGGGAAACAAGACGGAAGTTTTGAAGGCGGGTGAAGGACCCTCAGTTGCTATCATTACCGATGGTGAGGGAACTCTGGAGGCGGGTGGGGAGAAGTTTGACGTCAAGGCTGGTCATATTTACTTTGTTGCTCCCGGCATCGAGGTCAAGTGGGAAGCCCGGGGGAAGATGCAGGTCTTTACGACTGTGGTCTAATCGGCCTGGCGGTCAGACATGCAATAAAGGATGTACCAGAGATTGAAAAATATTTAGATTATTAGAAATGCGACCTGACAAAGCAATGGTCTGAATTCTCTTCATCCTCCATGATAAGTACTATAAAGCAATGGCTGCACAGTTACAACTATAGAGATTCCCCGACTTGAGCGAGGTGACAATTCACATGTCTCAAGGCAAGTAAGATAAGATTGATTCAATAGCAATTTCAAATAATCAAATAATCTTGTCCGTCGAGTCAAACTAGCATGCTATTGGAGTATCTATTCTAACATCATTCAAAAACAAGAATAAAACACTATATCTTCTGGACGACTGTGCCCGCACTCTCAATCTTCTGATGCCAGCTCTTAGCCGCTTCTGTTTCAAGGCCGTGGTCGATGATCTCTCCGCCTCGCACTCTTGATGGCACTTTCAACCGCCAAAGGGAGATCGAGATGGAAGAATGGTCTGTTGATAGCACCAACAGCCGCGAGGTGCCGAACCCCTCCCTCCTTAGATCCCAAAACACCCTGCTCCAAAGCCGACGACGAAGAAGACTGCTCAGAATCATTCGCAACACACGCTGACTCCGACCTCGTTGTTGCAACTTGCTGCTCGCACATCATCGGCGGCCGCCCCGCCAAATCAGCCAGACTGAAGACCGGCTCCCATCCCTCTAAATACCCTGTCCTCGGACACCCGAACCCAGATACCGACAGCGCGCGCCGCGCCCAGCGGTTATGCACACCAGCAAAGTGCCACTCCACCGGCTCCGGCGCAGCCCACCTGTCAAGTTGGTTCCGCAGGTCGATCAAGCCCTCCACGGCGCCCGAGTCCATGTTATTCACAGCAGCGCAGTCGAAGATTACGGCCCGTAGAATGGGCTTCAATAGTGATGGAGATTCGGTGTCGGTTTCGACTGTCGAGGGATGCGGGACGGCCTCGTTCCAGGGACGGTCACCTGGGTGGTCGTAGTGTGGTGTCGTGGTTCGGCGGGTAGAGTGGGTAACGTGCTCAATTAGGCGATCGACGTACTGCGCTTGGTTGAGGTAGTTGAAGCCTTCGGTGAAGCGGTAGATGAAGACGCCCGGGTAGAGCTCGTTAACTTGAACGGCGGGGTTAGTGCCGTCTCTGCGGTCTAGTGGGAGGAAGACGTCGTGTGATGCCGGGAGACGCGGCGACGGAGGGGCCTTGTTGTGGGAGAGGGTCTGCGAGCTGCTGATGGAGTGGTGGTCCGAGTCTTTGTGGTCGGGGGTGGCGCTGGCGTGGTGGTCTGGGTGCTGGTAGACGCGCGCGGCGCCGAGGAAGCGGCCTTTAGAGCGGGCGAGGCGGAGTAGGAGGAGGGCTGCGGAGAGGGCTACTGTGACGTAGATGCCGTCTTCGAGGCTGGTGAAGATGGAGACAAAGACTCCGATGAAGTAGATGAAGACGTCGGGGGGTGACATGAGCCATGACTTGAAGATGTGTTCTGGAGAGGTTATGAGATTAATCACGGCGTGAATGATGAGGGCTGCTAGGCTGGCCATGGGGATGTAGTAGAGTACTGAGGTGAGAGCGTATAATGCGAGAAGGAGGATTGCTCCGTTGAAGACGCCGGCCATTGGTGTTCTCACTCCGGCTTTTGAGAGAATTGCAGTGCCGCCGAAGGAGCCTGTCGAGGAGTATGCGCCTAAGAAGGGGCCGAACAGGTTGGTACATCCGATTGAGATGAGTTCCTGAGATGGCTGAACAGTATAGTTGTTGATGCGGCCAAACGACTTGCCGATAGCAATATGCTCAATCACAAGAATGATGACCGTAGCCGGTAGATCTGGCAGCAGTGCCGAGATCAGCTTGGTATTTAATGAAGGCGGGCCGGCGTGTGTGAAGCCTTTGGGCAGTGTCCCTGTTATGCGGAACTTATGCTCCCCGTTCTCCAGTCCGCGGTTCACCAAGAAGCTGATGAGTGTGTACAGCAAGATAGTAAAAGTCATGCGCAGCGAACAGAGCATCTCCCACATACGCTTCCGCTTCGGCTGTGACCGGGCCATGCGTTCCGTGTACCATTTAATAGCAGCCAACAACACCAGAGCCGTTAGCCCAATGGCGGCATCGAGCTTGACGCGAGGCAGACCACGGGCCGTGTTGATGAAGACGCGATAAGCAGCCTCTTTAGAGTTGACGCCGTCGATGCCGAGGAGGGATGGAGTCTGGCTGAGAGTGATTGTGATGGCGGCGCCGGTGACGAATGCGGAGATGGCGACGTGGGGGATGAACTCGATGATCCAGTCGAGGCGGAGAAGGCCGAAGACGAGGAGGACGGCGCCGGCGAGGAAGGCGAGGCTTTTGGAGATTTCTTCTGGTTGGAATTCGCCTGGGTGTTCTTCGAGGACTTTGGCGCTGACTTTTCCGACGAGGAGCGAGACGACGGCGGTCGCCTATTATCTAGTTAGTATGGAATCGTTACGAGGATGTACCACTCTAATCATCTTACACCTATTGCAATGTCCTTGGAGGTTCCGAATATCCAGTAAAGAGCTGCACCGGTGAATGATGTGTAGAGTCCATATTCAGGACTTAGGCGGGCGAGGAGGGCATAAGCCATGGCTTGTGGAATGACGACAAGACCAAGCGTGACACCTGAGTAAGGGATTATTAGTTGATGCCGCCAAGTTGCCTGGCCTGGAATTGCGGAGGTGCTTACCCGCAATAGCATCTGAGATGAGCCACCGAGTGTTGTATCTCAGAATCCATTTCGTAAAGGGAAATAAGCTTTTCACGTAACGAGCAGATCCCTCTTTTGTTGGTACTTGCTCCAACAGCCACTCCTTCACTGTGGGATCCTCCTCATAGTATGGGTCGTATGGCGAAATGGCGTTGACAACGTGGTCGTGGAGTTCTTGTGTCTGGTGGCGGGTGCTGGCTTCGAGATCAATACCGAGAATCTTTGCGAGAACCGCACCAGCTTTGCTGGCCGCCATGATGGCTACAAATATGGTTGCTTCTATTCGATGTTGAGTACTTATGTTGATTGGTAACTATGGTTGATAGTTTTCAATGTCGTTTCAAAAGACTAGATGTCAAGTCGTTGATAGCTGTCACTCGATGTAGAGGAGCAAAGATCGTCGCCGTTCAGATGGAAAGGGCCGAGAAAAGACGGTGTACCTAAGTATGGACTGAAATAACACATGGGTTGGTTATAGGACAGAGACAACGGCTGTCTCGAGAGGCAAAGACCGACCGCTTTGCAAGAAGCCGCACCGCCAGCCGCCTTGGCGCCCGAGACTTATCGAAGGTCGGACAAGGGGGAAGCTAGCTTGGCAGCAGACCGGGGAAGATAATCCTTACGTTATGGGGCCTTGACACGGCGATCTAGAACAAGTTTCTTCGGGTCTTCTCTGAGTGAAGTACGGGCAGCTTGACGGCCAAGTCTAGTCCTTTCCTCGCCCCGGGCACTTCCATGTTGACTAACATCGTAACATGACACTTACGCGATGCGAGGCATGAGGGGAAAACCTGAAGGGGGAACACTTAGATGCTCGGCCACCTAATCAACTTCCTCAAGAAGCCATCACGGCAGTGGCAGAGATTTCGTGGGGAGTGCGGGTCCCGTTCCCATGATGCCGGCGTTGACTAGACTCTCTCGGCGACCAAGGATGATGGCCTAGAGGCTAGTGCCCTAGATATGGATCACGAACATGAACGGTGGAGCAAGACTTGACTTGTGTCGCCGACGTGGATGATGCGAATGATAACGCGTTGGCACGCCCGCATAGTGCTGTCAACGGTGAGTGATGGTTGTCCCTTTTTTTGTCACCGGCCGATAGCCGTCCCGGAAGAGGCTGGGTGGCGCGGGTATCGGTCCTCGGCGGGCGGGATCCACGATGGGAACCGGCGCGGCCCCGTTTGTCGGGGATCGATGGAGGTCACGCTTCCTTGTCTTTCAGTGGTAAGAGTATCAAAGTTGCGCGCTTCACGGCTGTGTTATTCTTCTCTTGGCATTGAGCTCCTGCGGCTCTGGTGACTGGAGCACGTCTCGTCGTCAACGACTGCGATGGTTCTCAGTCAGCCGTCGTCAAATCTCACGAAGAATCGAGCCCTGATTATAGGGATTTAGGGGCATTACAGAACAGATTCTAGATGCTTCAACAGGGTCGCTCCGTTCCAATAGAGACAAAGAGATAAGATCCCGGTCTGCCGGCACTCGGTCGGTTTCCACTACGGCGGCACATGGAGTCAACCATTGTGACGTCGGTTGCCATCAAGGGCGGTGCAGGCCTATTGAACCACCGACCACATGATTAGGTTCATCAAAGACGGTTCTTTCTCTAGTCAGGATCTTTGTTGGTGGGGAGGCGTGGCACTGTGCGCTAGTACTACTTGCCATCTCGCGATGTTGTGAGCACCCCATTGTCTCTGTTTGCGAATTGCGCTACTGTAGACGAAAGCGAAATCCGTATCTGGTTGTCGTGGAATGGGCTGTAACACGAGGGAAAACCAAACTCGGTTCACGGACTAGACTACTTATTCCAGAATCTTCTCGGAAGTCGGCAGTCCCATTCCGAGGTGCAAACATCTCGCAAAACTGGCTCAATGGTCTAGAGGTATGATTCTCGCTTTGGGTTCTGCGTCTGTCTACTCTGCGAGAGGCCCCGGGTTCGATCCCCGGTTGAGCCCCTACATTTTGCTTTTTGCACCATTCAAATATGGCATATTTGCTTGGGTGATGGATGTCACGGTATTTGTAGGCTTCCCAGACGGTTAAAGAAAGTTTGGAGTCGTGAATTACACGCGGGATCGGCACGGAGCGTAAGTGGGTCCAAGCACCGGCCTTCACCCCGGCCAAGTCCGCCCATGTTTTCTCAGCTCGAGACTCTGCTGTTCCTTGACCTCTTCGCCTCCCCCGAGCCCGGAGTTGGACAGACTTCGCTGTCGGCTGAAGAAAAGCATACATCGAATGGTCTGTCACCTTCCATCACGCCAGTCTAAGATCGGATCTGCGTAGGAAGTCAGAATCGATACGTGGCTCACGAGCCTTGCACGACATGAGCTAGCTGTCAGCCCCGAGCCTATTCATCCGAGCTAGAGCATCAGTTTCAGGGGGGCGCGTCCGGGCCTTCGGATAGTCTTCATCGAGAACCCTCACTAGCTTGAAGCGCCACTCGGAGAGATCACCAAGAGGCGTCCGTCATGCTACAACTGAACGGGTTTGTTGGTATGCTGGCGGCAAACAAACCTCACGATTGACAGCAGCTGCCGCCGAGGAAATTGTTGTGACGGGATTATTGTCAGCTTTTCACAGACTCTCCAGACAATCTCCGAACCCATTTGTGTAACTTTGAACGCAAATGTCGAAAAGGGGAATTGTTGACCATTGCCATTTTCATGTCCGTGGGGAAACACACGATCCTGCCGGCGCGCCTTGGCAGTCCATGTTGCTACAGCAGCCTGCACCTCTTGACCTTAACAGCGAGCGGCATAGATGCTATGCCCTTGCATTGTGGCCTGCTTATGTTCTGTTCGATACCGCACCGAGGGTGCGTGCTGGGCTGTGGATATCTTGAAGGCGGTCTCCATGTGGGATGGGGGTCATCTCCAGATGCCAAGAACACCGGACTCTGCGATTTCCGCTATTTCCGATGATGCCCCCTGAATAGCACAGTTGGCTCTGACTTACGATAGCCGAATGTGCAGCTTGCAAATGCATGCACGGGTTCGGGAGCCTCGCAGCCAAACCAATTCTTCGGGTCACCCGATGCGCGCTCCGTCAATCAACTTGGCGATGCTTGATGCTTTTCCTCCAAAGCAGCACAGAGCAAGAAGAGGTTGATGCCCCCCGCGGGAAGTGGGGGAGGATGCCATAGTTTTTGCAGGAGTAGCTGCCTTTCCCCCATACGCGCTGACCTTACACAGTTCATCCGATCACTGCGAAAGTGCTATACTAAGGTTCTAGACTCTCTCTCCATGGCTCAGAGAAGAGTACACTCTCGAGTCACGAAGCCTGAGCCATTACCTAGGGAACAAATCCAGACTTCCGTTCCTATGTATGTTCGGACAGTCTTGGCTATGGACGACAAGGCGGCGATAGACTAGATGCCCAGGCGACGCCACTCGGGTGTTTTTCTTCCATGATGGGGATATGGATACAGGCCAAAACCTCGGTCACTGCAATGGCATATATAAGCCATCATCACCTCGCAACCTGTTGATGTTGGATCACCAGGCCAAGCTTCGTCTCTGAAACGATACCTAGCTTCCCTCGCGTCGAACTCCCTCCCTACCTTCATTCTTTTGACAAGATGTTCTTCCGGGCTTCTCATCTCGTGGCGGCGATGGCCCTCTTCGAAGGGTCATCGGCAAAGGATTGGTTGAGTCCCGAGTACAAGTACTTTTACCAGTTTCCTCTGCCGATTCCGCCGGTGAAGCAGCCCAAGATGTAAGATATGCGGCCCCCAAGCCTTATACCGGCATACTAATGACAGCCCAGGTCGATCACGAACCCGGTCACAAACAAGCAGATCGATTACTACGAGGTCGACATCGTTCCCTTCAAACAGCAGGTCTACCCCAACAAGGGACCGGCCTCGCTTGTGGGCTACGATGGCATCTCCCCTGGTCCTACCTTTCTGGTTCCCAGGGGACGGGAGACGGTTGTCAGATTCACCAACAAGGCTGTTCTGCCGAGTGCGGTGCATCTCCACGGTTCGCCTTCTGTAAGTCTCTCGAGTCCTGTCATATTTTGCCACTTTCCTAATGCCATGTCAGAGGGCACCTTGGGACGGGTGGGCGGAGGATCGCATCCTGCCTGGACAGTACAAGGACTACTACTACCCCAACAGCCAGAGTGGGCGCTTCTTGTGGTATCACGACCACGCGATGGACATCGTAAGTTTTCTTAGACCTTATTTCGGTCCCATCTTGCTGACCACGAATGTCAGACTGCCGTCAACGCATACTTTGGTCAGGCCGGTGCCTACATCATCCAGGATCCCGCTGAGGATGCTCTCGGTCTCCCCACCGGATACGGTGTAAACGATATCCCCCTCGTCCTGTCATCCAAGCAGTACAACAATGACGGCTCTCTCTTCTCTCCCGCCGGCGAGACCGACAGCCTCTGGGGCGACGTCATCCACGTCAACGGTCAACCCTGGCCCTTTTTCAAGGTCGAACCCCGCAAGTACCGCCTCCGCTTCCTCAACTCTGCCGTCTCACGATCTTTCATCCTCTACTTCCAGCGCCAGACCGGAGGCGCCAACATTCCTTTCCAAGTCATCGCCTCCGACGCAGGTCTCCTCACGGGCCCCATCACGTCCTCCACCTTGACTATCTCCATGGCCGAGCGCTGGGAGGTCGTCTTCGATTTCAGCCAGTTTGCGGGCCAGAATATCACGCTCCGTAACCAAGACGACGTTGGCAAGGATAAGGACTACGGTTTCACGAACCAGGTGATGCGCTTCGTCGTCAGCAAGCCCGCTGTTGTCGACAACGCCGTCGTCCCCGCCAACCTTCGCAACGTCCCCTTCCCGCCGTCGCAGGGCAACGGCGTTGACCGCAAGTTCCTGTTCCACCGCCAGGGCGGCGGCTGGAAGATCAACGGTGTCGGCTTCAGCGACGTCAAGAACCGCATTCTCGCCAACGTGCCCCGCGGCAAGGTCGAAATCTGGGAGTTCGAGAACGGCGGCGGCGGCTGGACGCATCCCATCCACGTGCACCTCGTCGACTTCCGCGTCCTCAGCCGCACCAAGGCGAAGAGACCCGTTCTTCCTTATGAGGCTGCTGGTTTGAAGGACGTGGTTTGGCTTGATGCTGGTGAGGTAGTCCGCGTTGAGGCGCATTACGCCCCGTGGGATGGCGTGTACATGTTCCACTGCCATAACCTCATCCACGAGGACCACGAGATGATGGCGGCGTTCAACGTGACAGCCCTGGCCGATTTTGGGTACAACGAGACTTCCTTTGCCGACCCGATGGAGGCTAGGTGGAGAGCTGTTCCGGTTACTGCTACGGCTTTCAGCGCTGATGCTATCACGCAGAAAGTGCAGTTCATGGCGTCTCTTCAACCTTATAACAACGTTGATGAGGTCACGACGAGGCTGGATCAGTACTGGTCCACTCGTGGCGGCGTCAAGATGAGACGTGTCAAGAGAGCTGCACAGGCTGCTATCGATGGACCACAGTAGAAGATTTGAGGTTGACTCACATAGAGTCTTGTAAGATATTATGCGATAATCATGTATATCCGAGGAGATGGGGGAAGGGAGACCAGAGGGCGTACTTTCACTTGTAAAACTTCACTACTTGTACTGTACTTTTGGCATTCGAACTTGTATTCTATACTTAATCATAAAAACATAAAAACCAGTAACGACAAGTGCACTTTAACATTGCCTCAAGTAGTTTACTCGTCGATAGGTGGTTGTGAGCTTTTCTTTGCTTTCTTCGTGTCACTGCGAAAGAATCCTTCCGTTTTTGGCTGAATGAATATTGAGGCATCTGCTCTAAAAGTCCAAGAAAGTACAAATGGCACGAAACTGGCGAAGATACAAAATAGATACGTTCATTGACAGATCGAATTGTCGTCCTGTATGTACTTTTCGTGATTTATTGAACTTTAATCGTTGCTGAGCAATAAGAATGATACTCCGTCTCCAAATATCGGCCAACTCCCACAGACCGAGGATGACCAACTCCAACACAAGCTCCTGGGTACTGATGTGCAAGCACGCTCGATTCCAACTACCGGCCTCAGATTCAACATTGACTGTCACCCGAGTACAATGGGATTGAATCAAACCCCGTAACTAACACTCATGCCTGGTAGACCAGCGGGCTCTCTCGCAGAACCAAACGTTGGGATCATTGTTCATGTAGCCGATGTCAAGGTTGCCATTCTCGATGGTTCCCGCGACATAGTGACCACAAGCGCTCGTAATAGTCGAAAGACCCGCAGCGAAGCTACCCTCGGAGATGCGACCGCTACCAGGCCCACGGCCGCAAAGGAACGCGACAACGTTGCCGCTGATCTTGTACCACGCAAGGCCGGGTCCAACGTCGGACTGACCGCCCGCGGCATTGATGTCGTTCTTGATCTGTTGGACGACGCGGTCGCAGTCGATGTTGTTCAAGAAGTTGCCGCAACCGCACCACACCGTGGCTGCGCGCTCGAAGAGCTCGCTGGGGGCCGGGGAGCGGCGGACCCGAGAATGGCCAGGCCTCTTCACGGCTCGCACCTGAGTGTCAGCCGAGGCGAGGCCGGCCACGGTGATGGGATTGGGGTCTTTAACGTGGACCTCATTGCCTGACTCGTCGTAGTAGGCTAAATAGGTGCCGTCGGTTGCGCCCTCTGGGATTCTGAAGGCTGCTGAAGCAGCAGCGAGGGCTGCAATGATGGAAAGAGACAGATGCATTGCAAGGGATTCAGCTAGATGCTTGAGATTCAAGATTTTGATGCAGTAGACTGAGGAGTCGAGGTCGGATGTTGTCTTCTGAATTGTCAGTAGACTCACTTTCTGAAAAACAGGTTCCAGCCGTTTGCCTTTTATAGTCAGACCGAAGAACCTTTTGAAATTCTTTTCCTTTCATCCCTCAGCTTCGCGACTATCACGAGCTCCTCGGAATACCTCTATTGCCTAGTCTAGGCAAGGCCTCTCCGCACCCCGCTTGATCAATGTAACACTCGCTTCTCTGAAGCAACGATAGCCTCACTTCAGCCGGGCGATATGCCCTGGGCAACCATGCTACAGTTGAGTTGTCAACTATATTTCTCAAGGTTGACAGGGAAAATTTAGATGAGTCGCTTCAGCTCGCATTCAGACCCACGAGGAGACCTAGAGCTAGTGACTAGGTGACTGAACAAAACATGCAGGCCATGATTGGATCTATAACCCAAGAAATGCTCCATTCTCGAGTCCGAGGGTCCACGCATTACATGTTCGGGTGAAGAACCGCATTGAGCAACAGCACGTGTATGGCTTCTACTAGGGCTATGTTATTCCACTTGGGGCTTTACCCCGCTCGCAACAGATGATTGACTAATGAATTATCTGCATGGATACCGGCCATCTTTGGTTACATGAGCCCTGCCGCCATGCGAAAGGGTACGAGATGGCGATTAGGTAAGTAAGTCTAGTGCGCGTAGATAGGCTGGACGGCGACTAGATAACACACGCGCCTAATCAACGTTGCTCTCATTGGTCAAGGTGTATGAACTTGCTAGTAGAAGTTCCCATCGGCCAAGACACTTCATGTTCCCACAGATTCACAGAATGCAATGCTACATTCATCTAGACCGTCTACGTAGTCTTTTGATATGTTCTACGCCGCATGACAACTTCATGTCTCAGTTGAGATGCGACTTTAGGTTTTCTTGACGCTACGTATGCCGCACGTACTCGAGACTAACTTTGCGGGACTGAATGACAAACTTTGTGTATTGGAGCAAGACAGAACATACGAGCGCTGTCACAGTGACCATGGACCGAAAATAGCATACTGCAAAGGTCGAATCAATCAACACCTACGCGGCAACAAAACTCTGGACGGGCAACCTTACCGTCTTTAGATGTTCGTAAGGCATTCTGGCTCTCCCAAACGCGCCACGCTCAGCGGCATCATTGTGGGTGGACCCTCCTTCAACTTCATGCCCCCCACATATGCACATTTTTCTTGCAGCATTCTCAAGTTCTTTGACAGACACCTTGCCGCTGGGCAACAGTCCGCCCATGTCGTATCCACGCCGAAGGATCCCTAGCGAGCTGTTCTTCCACAACGGTATTTCCGAATGTTCGCCGGACTTCATCATCGTGAAAAACAGGAACAAGAAAGTCAGCAATAGCAGAGTGACGTGCACTGTAATCCACTGCCAATTGACCTGGTAGAGCATATCGACAGTGCCGGCCACCCCCTTCTGGCGCATTGTGCCAAGTCCGTGAAGAGCCACGTCTTCTTCAGAGGACACGCGCCGCATCTCGTTGGTCATGCTTTCTGCAAGCACTTCAAAAACAGCAGAAATTGATTGAGAACCATCCTTCGGATTAGGTAACAGACGGCCCAGATCGTGTGGATATGGTTGGTGAGATGTTACTATCGCGCCGTTAAAACCAACCGCAATTTTCATACCCTTGATTCTTCTCAGTTCCTCCCGAATTTTGGGATCGTCTCGCCATGGTGCCCACATAAGGCGTTGCTGAAAATGAGCGCTGAGTGACTTAGTCGAGGTTGCGGCAATTATGAATCTGTCGGGAGGGGGCCCAAGAATGTAGAGAGGGTTATGGTTGCCGGCTGACCAGTTGGGATGATAATGAAGACTTCGCTCCTTATGTGATGGTGCAACCCAGGGTGGTGGCATAGGTGTGTGTCGTAGACTATAATCCCATGAATTACGGGTTCTTTCCATACCCTCGACCTCGATAGCCTCTTCCCTTAACCTTCCGTTTTCTACAACGGAGGACATTCTCTTGGCGCAAAATAGAGTGCACACTCTGTTGCCTGCAATGACTCGGAAGCCTCCGGCCAAGTCATCTCACCAAGAGCTTTCTAGATAGCGTTATGCCCTACTGGGACTCATCGCCATTGGGGCGGGTTGAGAGTTGGATGTATGATGTGCATTGCCCACAGAAGTGTATCGATATTCTTCATGGAGACCGTCCTGTTCAGGTTGCCCGTTGCAAGGAAAGTTGTTTGATGCCCACCGACTTTGCAGTCGCGGTCAGACTTTCTGTATGGATGGCAGCCGTCTGTGTTTGCGATAAAATAGCCATTAGGAAGGTTATATGCGGATGCGTAGACACTATTGTTGGCTTGAGGATCGGTCCGATAGCCTTGCATCTCATTCATGGTGTCGTTAAAATTGCCTTGAGCTCTTGTGATATTGGTGGTGATGTTATTGCATCTCGACCACATGGCGAGCGTTACAAATGCATCGAATTTGCAATTCCATGTTGGGCAATGGAAGAGCACTTCTTGACGAACTTCGTCCAAAAGATTTCCAGAAGGCGATCGAGATTGCCCCCTCCATGGATGGCTGCAGGCTGGTGCTCAGATTCGATGTGGCTGAATCAGTTATGTCTGTGGTTGTATTTGAGTTGAAAACTTCACCAAGTTCATATAATGTGGACCGCAAGATTAAGGCGGACATTCCGGCTTTGCCATCTTCACATATAAATCCTTGGTTGAAATGGATGAGCTGTTGAGAAAATGGATCGAGGACGAAGGCTAAGATTGTGAGAATTGCGCCGACTTTGACAATAGGTCTAGATGAATACATGTGAGCTTGATTACTCTTGGTGGAGTGTCTTTTACTCACGTCGCGCGTGATCTGAACGCAACTTTGACACTCCCTAGCGGTCCATGTGTAGCGCTGTCCAATCGATCGAAATTGATGAGCGGTCCCTCATAACGAGCGAACAGGATCCATTTTCATTGCGACAAACATACCGAAAGCACAAATGCATTAGCGGCTTTTGTTATAACTCAAAATATCGAAAGAAGCGTGTTTAAAGTCACGCCGTTCCGCTCGAACACCGGCTGGCCATCAAATTGGGTCATTAAGATGGAAATCACGGTGAGCGAAAGACTGGCACCAAAGTTTGCGAAGAACTCTTGGGCCTAGAAAATCAGCCTTTCCGGCCTGTTACTCTGCTATTTGTACGGGGCATCCCATCGAAAGAAGAATCCGTGAATTACTGAAGATATCTGTCTTGCTTTGGAATCTCTATCTGGTGATACGTTTGACGGTAGACAACCAAAATGTCTCAATCAGGCTTTCCGGGCTTGGATCAGACAGGAGGGCGTCGTCTAGTTACACAAGTTTGCAGAGACAAATTCTTTCGCAGGCATATTGAGACACGTCTTCGATGTAGTATGCAAGGAGCCGTCTTATAAGGCGTCTTTGGAGTTGGACAGTGCTTACTGCAGCATACGTTGCTTTGCGTAATCAAGTGTACCTACGCCATATGGACGGATGTAACTACCTGTACAGTGGCCACTTTCAAACAACTTCGCATCGCACTTAGCTCGTTTTTGTTCCGCATGCTGATCAAGTGAATTGGAGACATTCATCTTGGCACTTACATCACTTGATTGTATTGGTGCCTAGGCCGACAGGTTTTGCTTGTGTTGTAATCATTTCTTCACTGCCCGATGTACCAGGCAACCAGCTGACGCGAGAGAAAGGTTTCAGACAAGATGCCGCCCAAAGCGGTTCGATTTAAAGGCAGCCATAAAATCTCCTTAAGAAGCCTTCATTCCGCTGAGAAGTGCCAAGGTGTAAACATGCTATTTCAGATCCGTGCCATTATATGGATGGATGCCGAGGCTTTCTAGCATAAATGACGTGTCTGCGGTTGATTAGTACTCGAGCAAAAAGGGCATCACTCAACCAAGTTGTGCTAAATGAAGAGACAACTCACTGCCTCCAGTAGGCATGCAGCCTCGTATCCTTCACCTCCTTCTTGACTTCTGCACACAACTCCTCAACGGCATCCCGAGTCCAGCCCTTGACCCTCGTCAGTAAGCCCAAAGAGAAAGCCTCGAGGCCCATATCTAGATTCGCGCAGTTCCATCGACCGGCCTCTTTGAGCTTCGGGTCGTCGGGCCAGTTGTTGAAAGGCCATTTGTAGATCTGGTGTCGTATCTCCACAAAGCCGACGTTGTGAAGATCGTCGAGACAGTCTAGAGCGTAGTTGATAGGCCGACCCACCTCATTTGAAGCATCCACGAGCGCATGTTGCCAGCGATAGAGAGCGGCGTCCAGTGGCACGGAACCGTCGTCGCAGTAAGATGGGAGCTCGAGGTCTTGAACCTCGAAGTAGCCGCCCGGCTCTAAATGACTGCACCAGTATCAGCAAGCGAAGCGATTGCACCTCGGAGAGGCATGATTCTCACTCGTATACCCTTTGAATCATGGACCGAAAGTCTGACCAACTGCCCGCACAGGACCGATTAAAGATGTAGTCAAAGGGTTGTTCCCAAGGCCAGTCGAGCTCGAGGTCATCTATCTCAAAACTGCAGTTGGCAGGAACTCTACATAAGATTGATCAGCCAAGCAAATAGAGGACGGAGGCTCAAGCTTACAGATCAGGCTGAATGGCGCTCAGGTCGACACCGATAACCTGGAAATAGTTTAGTCAACAGAAGACCGGGGTTCTTCGTATTCTTCTTGTACCTCAGAGCCGGGATATGCATCGGCTGGTAAGGAGTCAGTCTCACAGTCATCGATAACCCCCACAAACGCGCCAGAACTGGCAACAAGTTCATCACTCACCAAAGTCGATCGCCCAGATTCCAGTGCCGGTTCCCAAATCCAGAACTCGCCTTGCGGTTTCCCTACCAGGACTTGTTGCTAATTCTCCATCCAGTGTGATCAACCACAGGTGATGTTGAAGATCTACTCGCTGTGAGTAATGTCACAGGGAAGGGAGCCAAGAGTAACACGTACCATAACGTATGAGTTCCAGCTACACTCTCAAATCAGATTAACGTGTCTTAAGGAAATAAGGATAATTGATAAGAAAGCAGTAGTCACATCGTCATTCGGATACGCATATTCTGTTACTCATTAGCCAGAAGCACATGCGACTGAAGCAAACTGGTGGCAGACTCAACTGCCTTCGCTCATCGAATGGTATGATCTGCCGTTCTCAAATTGATACTCAAAAATATCTGACGTTATTGAGAGAAGATCGGGCTGCGCGGGTGGCTGATAGCATTAGTTATGTGCAGAGTGAAGATGCCCGATTCAATTGGTAATGGACATACTTCCATATCCTCAATTGCAGAGTCGAGATCAGAGTCCATGCCTTCGACATTTGTTCCCTACAACTTTCAGCATTTAAGTCCAAATTAGAGTATTTAGTTCCAACAGCGAGCCAAACGACTTACCTCATCTTGCATTTCAAGATTGTCGTCGACGTCCATCTAATTCAAAGTACAGGGAGCGTATATGTACGTGTAAATGACGAGGATGTGCGAACCAAACTGTCGGGTTCTGCGTGGCTTGGGAGAACCGAGCAGCTGATGCGGGGGGAAAGGGGGGTCGGAAGGCCGCGGCACATGGAAGAACGGGCAGAGGGGTCCATTATGAATGTTAGGTTTTCGAACGCTAATTACGGATATCAGTGCACGTTTTCTAGGAGCAGGGGTTTGAAGGACATTGTTGTTATTGCTGGCTTCAACATGCTCTTGTTGGTTCCAACTTCCCAGTGCGTAATGTTGGCGTGATGAGACTTTAGCCGTTGGGCGGCTATGGAACTCTCTTGGACCAACCAGTCGGTGTGATGAGGGGGTCGGCTCGCCTCCGACATCAGCTATTTTCCAACGGGCTCGATAGCGTCGTAGGATGTAACAGGGGCGTGGCGGTGACGGGGATCCTCTTGACAACGAGGGTGGATCAGTTTTCCAACAAATACCAACCAGAATCGTAAAGACTTGGAGGCACGATTTTGCGTTGGAGAGCGTTGACCCTTCTGGCTCTGGGTGATAAACCGCAAACTGGCCATCCAGCCCCACAGACGAGCATCTTAGATGTTCTCAGTTGTCTGGCCGGTTGGCCCAATGGCAAGGCGTCTGACTACGATACACCGTGGAATCAGGAGATTGTGGGTTCGACCCCCATGCTGGTCAAAAGCTTTTGCCTGTTCACGATACCGCCGTTTTGTCAGTCCGGGAACGAAGTCGTTGGGTATATTTCATCGAGGGCGGAAGGTCGTCAGTAACGAGTGCTCATTTAAGCTCAGCTCATCTACAATTTTGTTCTTAACACAATTTTATAATACGTAGATATAATGGAAATAAGCCCAAAGTTCCTTATCCCCGCATGTCATTCCGCTTTTGATGGGGCACACAATGTGTATTTGGCAGGTAGGTTACGACCGTATCAAGAGGTTTATCGCGCCAAAAGCTGCGGATGGCTGGTGAAGTATTACCTAGATCAGGAAGGAATAGTTTTCGTACTCTACGCCCAGTCAAACTGAAGGAAGAAGGAAAAGGATCCAACAACCTTTGAGTCGGTCAGGCATGCTAGGGGCCACAAACGATCCATCGTGGATTCGTTCTATTCAGATTACATGTATTACCAGGATATCATGTCAACGTCAACCTTCTTGCTTGACAGGAAAGCGGCATTCTCGCGGTGTCCAGAATTGCAGTTCATGTCCTGTCATCTGGAGTTGTGGGATACTTATCTTCCCCGTAGGTGGAGTTCAAAGTAATCGATCCGACAATGTTGCCAGACTCCAGTCGAATAAACGTGTCAAGCTCCCCTTTTGACAGTTTATCACGGGTGAATGACAACTGCCTCGAACCTCGAATCCAATTTCCGTATCCTCCATAGCCTGTATGCTGACCGAAACACAGGTTGACACCCGTCCCATCAACAGAAACACCGCTGACAGAGCCTTTCCACTTTGTACACCAACTATTCCCGTGGTCGTGGCCGCTGAACACTCCAATCATGCCCGGGCTATCAGCAACCGCCTTCATGAATGCCGAGTCTTGACCGCCGTAGTCGCAGGAATCTTTTTGACTTCCATCTTTGCACCAGCCTTGAGCCTGATACGACAGCGGAGAATCGTCGTTGATTCCAGGATTCTTCTCATGGTCGATACCCTGTGTTTGAATGGCGCTCGAGGCTTTTGGCGGAATGTGAACAAACGCGACACCCGGAATGTTCTTGTTGTGCTTCTTGTTGAGATCTGAGTTGATCGACTTGAACCAGTTGACGACGCTTTCGTCGACCCAGTTAGGCTGACCCACCAACTTCGCTGCGTCATTCGATTCAGTCTGCATGAAGTAGAAGCCGCCTCTGCTATCAAAGAACCATAGGACTAGCTCCGGTGTACAATCATCTTTTGTGCAGTCGGATGCATAGACCGGTAGATAGTAGTTGGAGACCCCAGCGTTGGAGTTGCTGACCATCTTTTGCGTTCGAGAATTGAGCCATTGTTTCTCTCGCGCCATGATATCGCTCCCCGATACGTTTTGCTGATAGTCGTGATTGCCGTAAGTGCTGGCCCAGGGTATACTCCGATCGATTATTGGCTTCACCAACTGATCAAGCACGAACGTTGCGTTTTCTGCAAAGGCATTTTCTCCTGTGATGAGGTCGCCATTTAGTACCACCAAGTCTGGCTTGGCATCGTCTAGCACTTTGGTGATGACGCCGACAGTTTTCTTGTCTGCAGCAGGGCCGAATGCTTCCCAGGCGTCTACAAGTATTTATGCGGTGTCAGCACTGAGTAGAGCACGGTGTCTGTGCATGGCGTTCCCGCTCTCACTTCATAGACTTACTCTCTCCAAAATGAAGATCTTCGAAGATGGAAATCTTGAAGTTGCCGTCCTGACTGAAGCTCAGTGGATCCGAGGCTGTGTCACGGCGGTGCAGCGTTGGAGATTGGCGAGACAGTCCTGTAAAGGCAGCCAATACCCAGATGAGAGTCGTCACTTTGAAAGTCATGTCAATGTTCCGGATGCTTGGGAACACAGTTAATCTAACGGAGCACATGTGCAACCTGCAAGCTTGATGGGAGCCTGCCGAAGCTATATACAATGCCATCGTCTGAAGTCTCGCAGTGGCTCGGCCAGGGTGCTATGGGACATGGTTTCACGAATGCAGTCAAGGGATGTCGAGAAACACCAAACGTGCATACTCAGAAAGACTTGTAAGGGGCCATTGATCTTTTTTATGAGCTCCGAAGGCGAACAGAATTAGTATAAAGTCAATCACATATGATGTTGCAATCACAAGGGGTGTGATCTGGTATTAGTATACTTTTTCCAATCCACGCGGATCGCGTGGTACAAATCCCGAATAGCGATGACTAAAGCCGCTGGAGGGTTTGTCGATGATGATAAACTCCATCCCTGCTCGAACCTCGAGTTGAAGGCCCAGACCATCTGTGCAGCTAACACGGACTCCGACCTGTCACCATCAGTCAACGTCCTCCAACCACACTAGCTTCCATCGCTTTGATCTTAAGCTCGGGCATTCCTTCCACAGTAATCTGATCTTGGCCGGTCTCCCGACGGAGGTGGGGATGCGGAACTTTGCGATGAACCCCGAGTGATTTCAACCCACCTACCTACTTCACGGCCGGTAGCTTACCCAGACCGGAAAGCAACATGTGCTCTCATAGTACATGCTTACGTACCTACCTTACAGTATGTACCACAGCTTCAACCTTTATCTCCCTCTTGAAATGGGCATAAGATAGGAAGACCTTAGTGTTTCAACATTCTCGAGTTCGCATTCTGAAAAATATTGCTCACACCTGCCAGGATCTGACTAAGTATTTTACAAAACGTGTTAGAGCTGCGATTGTTCAAAACTCCTCATGTTGTTTCCGAATCCTTTGATAAAGGTAAGCTTTATGCAGGCACCTATCTACTGCCTGAAACTAGTTCCCAGTCCAATTCTGCATCAGCTGCCGAACCGTATCTTGAGGTGTTCTTCCAGAGTTGTGGGCTTGCGAACATGCCCCATAGACACAATCTCACTAGCCGGCACCTCGAATAGTCCCTGGTCGCTCAAGAATGCGACAACCTCTGGGAGATACTCAAAGTTCCTAGCTCTTCCTTTCTCCTTGCGCAGTCTCGCAATCTCTTCCGCAAGCATCCCCAGGGTGCCTTGACGCTTGACCTCAACAAAGGTGCCCGTCGCCTCCTCGTATGCCAACGCCAGTTCCTCAATCGTATTGACTCCGGAGCGCATTCTGAAGAATCCTCCCTTGCCCTGTTGGACGCCGTCTCCATTGATTAGGATATCAATGGTCCATGCAGCAACGTCGTCTTGCGCCGTCCATGAATGCAATTTCTTGTTCCCTTCTCCCCAGTAGCGCATGAGAGGGACGTCACCAGAAGTATCGAAACCTCCCGGCCCGTACGGCGTGAATAGGAGGTCGGCAAAAATCCCCGTGAAAAGGTAAACCGGATTGATTGAGCTTGTCATGGCAGCCTGCTGCTCAAAGGCAATGTGAGCGTCGTAGTGCTCAAAATCGCCAAACTTGATCTTCGTCCAGTCGTTGTTCCACGAGGAGGCCATAAAAACCTTGACGTTTGCCCGCTCAGCAGCCCGGAGGAGTAAGAGGCATCCGTCGAGATCCAGTAGAGGTGTTGGGTTGTAAGCGCAGATAATCGCATCGACACCAGCTACAGCCTTATCTAGAGCTGGGATATCATAGTAGTTGCGACTTGTGACGAAGGACTCCAAACTCTGGGCCAGCTCAGGACTCAACTTTGAGGAATCACGTCCCAGGCCTCTGACAGAGAGACCGTGCTCCTTCGCAACCACTGCTAGGCGGCTACCAAGGCTGCCAGATATTCCGGCGATTAAGACGAGCATGTTGATAAGTGTACGTAGTTGGTAAAACCTTTCGTTTGTGAGATTGATGAGTGTAGTTAAGCGTTTGATAGTACCGATTGGGCAAGCGAACCTCCGCGACTTATAAGCGCCGGTGGGATACTACAGCGGGGTTTGCGAAATGATTCGCTCTCAAAGAGAAGATCACCATTCACTGCGCACTGCGGAGTCCAGTTCAGTCAACGACACCGGGATTACCAAGGTAGATACCTCCAGTCATCGCCGATAACGTTATGGTAATGCCTTTTGTCGTGAAGTATCTGATATAAATTTCAAGCCCGCTGATGAATCTTTGTCTGATTTCAAATGCATGCTGTTCATACTCC